TACATTTCATTTATAAATATATATTTGACTGATTTTTAAAATGGATAATCTTAGTATAAAATTGTCTCACAGAATTCTTAGGATCTGTCTTCCTGGATGAGTAGAGTAATCTTACGAGTATGTCTATGTATTTTTCCGTAACACTCTTAGCTAAATCAATGACATGATTACAACTTTCGTGATCGAATTGGTGATTTTTTTATTTCATGAAAAATATCCTCATTAACAAAATTGCTTATTTATTTGTTTAATTATGCTTATTTATTTATATTTATTATTTTTATTATTATTATATATATATTATTTTATTATTATTATTATTATTTATAATTAAGCTTGATTGATTGTGTTAAAACTACAAACTTTCCTAGTGTTTTTACAGAAGGTAAATAAGTATTAAATGTTTTGCGTACATAATTATAAGCCTAGCTGAGTAATTTATGGTGAGTGCAAAAGCTCTCAATTGTGGTGAATATTTTTTTCTAACAATTTTGCCTGATTTTCTAGATTTTGATTTATCTAAGGAACTTAATGCTTCATTGTTTTCCGCTGCTAATGAATTTTGTTTTCTAATTCTACCAATAATGACTTCAAAGAAACTATTTGTGTTTTTAGTCTTCTGTTGGAATCACTTAACTTTTTAACTTTTTTATCTTTTTTGTTCATTACGTTGGTTAATTCGATGATTCTTCTACAAAGACGTTTTTAACTGGAGTATCAAATGCAGATGGCGTATCAGGTATAGGAGAAAATTTTCTTTTTTGTTTTGTAGGCGTTTCTAAGCAATGACTCTGATTTTTAGGTGTTGGCGGGTTTTTCGCGTATTTCAGCGGCGAACCAGTAATCAAAATCAGAAATACATATTCGTTTCTTTTAAAACATTACCGATATAGTATTATTAATTAATACACCATACGGCACGTCTTCCAAATTTAGATGTACTTAATAATTATAATAAGATAATACTGAAGTTCATGTAACACTAAATACCAAGTCAAAACAATAATCACATTATAACTTTTACAAGTTTTATGATTTATAAATCCGTTAAAAATAGCTTGATTTCGACGTGTAACATTTACCTAAATATAAGAATATCATGTTTCACTCAACCACTTAATGATATTATTGTGTAATCTACGTTAGTACTAATTTAAAAAAAAAACGCAAAAGTCCATACCAAAACTGGCAAGAATCCAACAGCTTTATACGGTTTTTCATAATATTATGAAGATTGTCTTCTGTGAAGTGTTTTGAGCATAGTACACTATTTTGGGTGGGAAACCATTCGTCCCCTCGACAATTTGCGTCGATCCACACCTTTTTTCCTTTCGGGGCATTTAGGAAACCTATATCATATAGGTACCACAATGATACGTCACTATTTTTATAAAATAATATGACTTCGAAAAAAATAATTAAACGATGACCACACAAATATCGACTTAAAAATCACAACACTATCGATACACGTGCTGTTGTTAGACAAAGACAACTATTGTAATTTACGTAACGAGTGAAAGGGACATTTCAAAAAGACATCAACGGGTGCTTAATTGTTATCACTTTGCACCATTCATATACCAGTATAAGTTGATCTCCGGTGCATTTGAAATAGGTTAACGTGATAAGAATAGAATTTACTTACCAATTAAAATTTATGCCATCTTTTTGATAACTGGATGTCTTAGCTAATTTGTCACACCATTTTACTGCACAGGAAGCCATTTGTAATGTATTTTGGATACAAAACTATTTTTAAATTGTCAAGAACTCGGACGTGCCTACGGATCACAAACTTGGTCGATATTGATGTCGTGATTCTTAGCTTCACTTCGTATGCTAGCTACAGCAAGTATGTGTTGCGCGCGTTTGTGGCCCTGTATGCGGAATCTATTAGGGGGTAATCTATGGTTCTAACAAAGTAGTCCCATGATACTAGGCTTGTTCCTAACGCCAACAAAACTAAGCTTATGTATATCAGCTCCAGCCAAAATAGGATTAATTCAAGTCCTCAATTAATGGTCCACGATCACGCTTGTCTCCACTCAGACCATATCAACTGCGCATGTGAACCAGTTGAAGTAGTAAAAACGCAAAAATATCTTGGACTAATTATTGGTGACCGCTTTAAATGGACCGACCACATCAACTTTGTGACAAATTGAGAGCAATTCTGGCAAAGTTTTCACTAATTAAATGGAAAATACCCTTTTCAAGGAAAATGCTACTTTATAAAGCATTAGGAGAATCTGTCAAATCCTATGGGCTGAGTAGTTATGGATGGACATACAAATCACACCTGGACCTAATTTATGAATTCCACTGAACTTGTGAATTTTTTTATAGGATGAGGGTGACAAACGAGCACACAGTCCACCTGATGGTAAGTGGTTGGTGCGGCCCATAGACATTTACAACTATCCTCTATTACAAATCAAAATGTAGATGCGTTGTCACCCGTGAGGACTAAGATGGAATGCCTCATTTCCAGTAAAAAGGGCCTCCGGCCACCTGCACTCACCAAGCGAAACGCAGAGGACCCTCTACTTCACGCTGGTTTTCTGTGAGGTCGTGGTAGCACCCCGGTTCGAGCCGGCCCATCCGTGCGACAGCAAAAGCTGCCGCGTGGCTCTACCACTGTTAAAAAGTGTATGGGGCAGTGGAGTACGATCCTTTGTCATCTAGGCGAGCGGATGACGGTTGTGGAGAACCACATAAGGATAAGAAGGGGTATCCTCCAGGGCGACTGTTTGAGTCCAATCTGGTTTTGCCTCTCTCTAAAGCCTCTTAGTATTTTACTGGAGGGTTTCGGGAGAGGTTATCAGCTTCGGTAAGGGAAACAGGCTTTTATCTGTTTTTGTCTGGATAGAAAAGTCCGCACTGTTATAACGTCCCACAGGATGCATCATCCGCGACCGTCAGTAATGACGCTGTACCTACAGCGTAAAATTGGTTGGCGCGGCTTTTTAAGCGCTCTCACCGTGCATAATCGCGAAGTGTGCAGCCTTTGTAATTACTTCCTGACGAAATCGGATGACCCATTATACAAGGACGTTATTTCGTGTGATAAAGGGCTAAACCCTCTATCATTAGCCAACGAGCAATGGCAAGACCCAGCAGTACTGTCTATTTCCGACCGGTCCACCGTATGGACGCATTGTCCGCCGGTTTCTTTTCCTTTCCCCTTAACTCTCGCACGTTTGGTCTCCCCTGCCGAGGGCTTCCATTCCATCTGGTTGGGATTTTATTTATTTATGTATTATTTATTTATTTATGTTAGTATATTAAATATATTGTATACGCCCCTAGCTGCCCCAACCAAGGCTGACGGGATTAGGGCCCATGAGTAATCCCATCGACGAGCAGCAGAGGGACGGGCCCAGAATATGGCCACGTGGAATTTCCTAATTACAATAAACAATAAGGGAGAAAGCTAGAAACACGTAGTACTTACCATTATCCGGAGCTGACTTCGCACCAAGGCTTGGGTCGGCCGTGAGTGTGTATAATAGTGGATGGTGAATAGTGTACAGTGAGGTGTGAATGTGTGGGCCTTGACAAGCATAGGCGACCAGCAGCGGCCGAGTTCCAGGCTGCTCCAAAATGCTGTACCGCTTCAGACTGCTTCGGCGCCGGACCACTTCTTCGTTCGTCATGATGACAGTCCATTAACTCTATCGTACGATTAACTAACTTACAGAAGCCACTAACTCTCGTTTGTTATAAGCTTAACGCACAAAACGAACACGGAGTGTCCGAATCAAAGGTCACTACCGTTTCGCGTAACAACAGTTATTTCTAGAATATCAAAGGCCGCACTAGCTAATATTGTCGAATGCACTTATACAGATTCTGAGTCTGACCCAATAAGTTCCGGGAAAGGCTATCCAACAAGGAATTCGCGTTATGAATCCTAGACAGGATGTTTACTAGACGTTTAAACTATTCCGCGGTTCCCGAACAAAAATGACAGTGTGCTAGCGTTAGCACAGCTGGCAGACGACTAGCTGCGCTTGTGCGTTCTACGCACGACCGAATGTCAAACCGGTATGGCACCAAGCCGCGCGCCCTCTCGCGTTAGTTCCTGAAGTTAGCGTTTGGCGCGAACATATATATTTATTTATTATTTCCTTTGATATATTTATCCAGCAGGGCTATTCACAATCGTCTCGGAAAGCGAAATCGACTCGGATTCGATAACTTCTCGCACCAAAACCAATAAACGCTTTTCACATTTAACGTTCGGATAAAGGTCAGTTAGATACATTCTATAACTATTGTATCGTCATTTAGTTACATGCATTTACGAATTTTGTAGATAAATAGGCTTTTGTATTTTTTTAGAGTAACGCCTGAACAAAAACATAATGCAATATTTTGGAGTTAGCCATTGATATCGAATATAAAAAATATATAATTTAACTATATAATAAATAACAAAAAAAAATTGAAATATGTCTCGTTTCACAAAGCAGCATATATATATATATATACACCAAAATATTGCATTATGTTATGTTTAGGCGTTACTCTAAAAAAATACAAAAGCCTATTTATCTACAAAATTCGTAAATGCATGTAACTAAATGTCGATACAATAGTTATGGGATGTATCTAAGTGACCTTTATCCAAACGTTAAATGTGAATAGCGTTTATTGGTTTCGGTGCGAGAAGTTATCGAATCCGAGTCGAATTCGCTTTCCGAGACGATTGTGAATAGCCCGGCAGGTCAACCAGATGAGAAAACTCTATAAATACCCCAAAAAAATAAAAGTCAAATTGCCCTATATAGTATATTATCTATAGTATAGTATATATTATAGTATATGATTGCAAGTTGCAACACTGGTGAAGTGCCAACTGCCAACTGATGGCCTAAAGGTCTAGATACCAGGCCATAAATTCCAAAAAAAAATAACTGCCAACTGGAAACGTATTCTAGGTTATGTGTGGCATAATTTACATTTACAATTAAAATACATAAATTTAGACAAAAATGAAAATTTATACTAATGACAACAATACTGCAACCTTAAAACTATTAATAGCGGCTAATTTGGCAAACAAAAAACTTCAATTATGCAGAGCTACTTTCGAAGGTATTTTTCAAAACTATGAAAATTTTTCAAATCAATAATTAAATATCATTGGTAGGTATTCCATTTCATTCGTGTAAAGGCTTTGAACTTAAGTATTTACTAATCTGCATGCTTTTCAGTCAGGGAATTTCCATAATTTATTTAATTATTTGGTACATTGCATCAGATTTCCAATTATGCATGTTTTGTTGCTGTTGGCTCCGTTGACAGAGTAATATTGAACTACAGATGCTTTCAAAAAGTATGAGCACAATAGTTTAAAGTTGTTCACTTACTAGTTATACAATAAATTCTATAATATAATCTGTTTTTTTGCTCATATAATTGTCAGACCTCGTACATCACTAGAGAAAGAAATAAAGAAAGGAAATAATTTATTTAGTAACACGTAACACTACTACAGTAGTACTACAGGATAAGAATAGTATAGGATTAACTGACTTCTTCACTCTTCTAATTATAAATTTAAATGACACCAAGCACTAACAAGACACCATTATTATAAGAAAAATTAACAATTAATCTTTATTTTAGATTATGTATTAATAATTAGATTTTTTTGCATACCCTACACACTTGACAATAGTATGCAATTAGAAAAAATATTATTTAATATTAGTTTGGCTGTTATATTCTTATCATGTTTGCATATTACTTAAGAGAAAGAAAATCATATTTAAAATTTATACACATCATAAAGTCATAAAATCTATATAAATAAAATGATAGAGGTTTGCAGTTGTGCGTGCAACATGGAAAAACTACTGGATACATTTCAATTAGGTTTTCTAAGTTTTATTTATTAAACTATTGGCCTTATTTAAAAAAAAAATAGTGATATGTTCATTTAATATAAAGTTATTAAAGTTTTAGGAAACAATAATTTTATAAGCACTATGTGTTCAGTGATGCATGTTTTCTTGATATATCAAGCAACACGTATGAAGTTGTAGGTATTGTAGATACATTTTTTAAAATTGAAGTCAGTGTATTAGCAATTATTTATTATTTCCTATTTATATTTACTAGCATCTTGAGTATTTTGTTGAGTATTTTACATAACTTTAACAATAAAGCCTACAGAGAGCCAAACTGTATACTATGTTGCCAACCTGTATATTATGCTATTCAAAAATTATTTTTATAGTATATAATATTGTGTCACTATTATCATTTTTAGTACTTATATTTATTTCATTCATAATGTGAATAAATTAAATATTACATGTATTAGCATGTAACTAACAACTGGGGGTTGGCACTGAGCGCTCGTCTGGCATTGCAGACGGCATTTTCACAGGGCCACAAGTGCTGCCATTGCTGGAAGTGGATGACCAGCTGACATTCTTCTCTAGTAATGCAGCTGCACAGTATCTATTTCCTGTATTGGACTTATCAGAAAATGGACAGTGGTAAGCATTGAAGCATTGACCTAACATTATATAATAATTTTTATTCATTTATTAATTACAGCCTGTCAAAAGTTAACTGCTAAACATAGGTCTTTTTTTCTGTTCATTTACCTATATCCTTTTTTAATTTGCTTGTGTGTAAATTGATTTCAATTTTATGATTCAACTAAGGTTTTATTTGTATGAATGAAATTAAATCTGTTAAAATTTATGACAACTTTTTTTCTTTTTATTGTTGCGCAAGAGACTTATTTTTTTATATGGTAACACTCCTTTTTCCCTAAAAGTCAGTGTGGGTAGTTCAATGTTATTAGTTTTATTTATTATTTATGAGTGTAGTGCATAGTTCAGTGGGAAATTCAAAACATATTTCTTGCAAAAATACACTTTATTCAACTGCAAAAATTTTGTAGTATGATACTGGCCTGACGAAGTTCAAGAACAATCAACGAGTACATTATGGCTGATTAATATTTTTATGTACCTACCTAAGTAAAAACTAGGAATTCGAACGCTGGACGATGAGTGCCGCCAGTGTAAGAAAGTTGCTAATTTTTCACTCAATTTAGTTAAAACGCTAAAATTTGCCCTGCTATGTCGCATCAGGACAGATGTGATTATAACGCTATTATTCAATCATTATAGAATCTGGTTAAAGTTTTCATGGAACTATTAATTATAAAAGTAAATAGAGAGTGTAAGAGATATTATTATATACATTAAAAGAGAATTTACAGTAGTATTGAAAATTTCCTCTTTTTTGCAATTGTTTAACAAAAGTAATATGGCTACTTCATTATGTATCTAACTTGCAGTCAGCAAATGCAAGAATGGGAAGCGACACGACTTCAACCAGCAATAGCAGCAGTAGCTGGCGGTAAGGCTGTTGCTTCTGACTTGCGACAAGTGCTGCAATCATTACTGCAAATGCTTGATTCTTTACTCCAGAAGCACAAGTATATTCTTGGGGTAAGTTATATATGCACATTTGGACAATTTATGTAAAAAAATGTAACACAGGCTACCAGTGCCAAATAGTTGTTTCGATATACTGTTTGCCAATGTGTGTCATTTGGTTGTGCGGAAAATTAAGACTTGTGATATATGTATAATTAAATGTAGTACACAGACCAACGGTAGTGCCTCACTCGCATTGCCAGCTGTGAATCTACTTATTGATAGTTAATTATTTTACTAAAACCCTAGAGCCCTAGACTTTAATTTATTTTTATTTTTTAAAAGACGTTACCCCCACACTAGGATTTTCTCCTGTATCGTGGAGGCAGTTTACAAATATAAATTGCACGAGGACAAACATCCAGACCCGGAACAATTATTTGTAGGCCATACAAATACTTGTTCCGTGCGGGATTCGAACCCGCGGCCCCCAGCGCCACAATTCATTGCTAAGCCACTGCGCCACGGAGCCGTCAAGACCATAAGACTCTTTAATACTGCCCTCAAGAGTGACAAGCAAGCACAAGCCTATTTCATGGTAAGTGAATGCTGTGACCCATATATACTTGTATCTATCCTCAATTAAGAATCAAAATGTAGATGCATTGTCACCTCTGAGAACTAAGATGGATTGCCTCACAGCCTGTGATTACACTGGCTCTCTATACCTTTCAGACTCGAATACAGCAGTTCACGTTCGGCGGCAGAGATATATTTAAGAGGGTGGTATCTACCCTAGGCAGAGAGCGAGTCCTAACATCTAGAAAGCTTGCTTTAAATAGGCTTCATGTCAATTTTGGTGTTATATCAATTTATTTATTGTTGCAGGAGAAATTGTCAGCAGCTGATATTTCAATTTGGAGCACATTGTACCCTTTGTACTATGAAGAATCTCTAAGACAAAACTACATGGCTGAATGTGGAAACTTAATACGCTGGATCAATGAATTAGCTGCTGCAAAATCTATTCAGGTAAATTTGTCATTACAATATGAATGTTAGAATTTAACACATTAATGTTTGATTAAAGAAACATCTCAAACTCCACAATGTCATAATTTGAGCCTAGAATATACTGTTATACCCATTTTGACATTGTGTAGATAAAGTTGAAATTGTCTCAAAAACAGTAAAAATTATGATTTATTTTTATTATTAGATGTTGTTTTTTATTGAATTAGTCAGGTTATTAATAATATGTAAAAGGCACCCTGTCCGATCCAAAAAATGCATCACAAAAAAAATTATATAAATATAGTGTATATAAAAATATTATTGTTATTTAAACTACACGCTTTTCCTACAATTTGCTTAAAATTCAGAAATTTTTTGAAGTCTAGCAACATTGTCCTCACAGACATTATCCTTGAGTGTGTGGCAGTATTGTTACTCAACAGCCGTTTGAATCACATGCATTCTAATCCTCTTCTCGTTATATGACGACATCTATAAGCACCCTCATAGATGGAGGTTTTTTCATATTGTATTTTGGTTTAGTGCAAAAAAAGAAAAATCTGAAACCGATATATGGTGCTGTAGTCGAGTTATTAACAAGTTTTATATTTACACCAAAAAGTGAGAATTCGACGTAAAACTTATCGTACAATCTACTAGAAAAAGCAGAACAACGTCGGTCAAGCCACCTTCTTCTTTCAACTTTCTTCTAATGTAGAAAGGATTCCATTCATATATTGTACCACTAGATATTTTCTAGCTTTAACTCAGTTTCTCGTCGCCGATCTGGTATTTATATCTAGCATGATACAGGTTATGCCGTCATCTCTTGGTGGCCATAAGAATTTTCTGATTTTTTAATCAACTCTTGCGTCAGTTACGGGACGAAATAGAGTAATGGATTCTCTTATGCCACATGGTAATTATTTTTATTACTTGTATATTTAGGAAGCAGTCAAACAGTGGGGAGGTTCAGCAAAAGGGCCATTTGGAGCATCATCAACGCTCGGTTTTCCCCAAATTAGCAGCCTTGTCTCACCAATTGGGTAATTTATCATTTTTTGTCATATTAATAAATTATTTATGTTTAACCTTTATATGCCACTTGTTGAATATATCCTTAATGTAAACATAAACTACTGGGTTCTTTGTTTTTTAAGTATATCATAGTTTTAAAGTAACCTTGGTTTACAGAAAGGTGGTATTTTTTTTATAGAATGAGGGCGACAAACAAGCTATCTGATGGTTAGTGGATGTTGGTGGCCCACAGACTGTGGGCCACCAACATCCACTCACATCACAACATAGATGTAGGTATCTACCTACATCTATTGTCAATTAAGAAAGAAAATATAGATGCATTGTGAGCCTTGAGGATTAAGATAAAATGCCTTGTTACCAGTAAAAACCAGTTCTCTACAATCGCCATTCAAAATACAGCAGCATTATACTGCTAATTTTTGCCAATATTTCTGCCACTATATTATAGTTGCGACGTGACTATTATATTAAATATCAAAAACAAAAATGTTTTTTGAAACAAGTTAGAATTTCTTTGTGTTTTCTCCTGTTATATATAGTATAATAATTAAAAATATTATATTATATTATTACTAGGTCTCCAGATGAGGATCTTGCAGCAGCCGGGGCTACTTCCGAGGAAGTAGAAGCTGCAAAGGAAGGTTGGATAAATGGTCTTAAAAATATGCAAACGCCACTGCCACAAGAAAAAATAGTGTAAGTGATTATTTACTGCTTAATTACTCTATGTTGTTTGAATAACTTATTATTGTTAATCTGTGAACAATCAACTTCTGGACAGCGGCTTCTCCCATAGTAATAGTCAAATAAACTAGCTGTATCAAAAATGCTGATCTAAACAAAAATTAATATTTTTTTTCTTATATTTTGCAGACTACCAGTAAAAGGTCGTAAAAACATATTGATAACGTCCGCGTTACCCTATGTTAATAACGTACCACATCTGGGCAATATCATTGGATGTGTACTATCTGCTGACATTTTTGCAAGGTTAGTTTTATTATATTAGGTTTATGAGTTATAAATCTTTATATATAAAAATTACGTGTCGCATGGTTTGTCCACGATAAACTCCTAAACCACTGGAAAGATTTCAATGAAATTTTGCACACTGTGTGCAGTTTGGTCCAACTTGAGAGATAGGATAGTTTTTATCCCCATGAGTGACCTCCAGTATTTTTTATTTCAAACTTAAGTATTTTTATAGTACAGAGGATCGCCGCTAAGGGCAGTAAAACGTCTGCCCGGCCAGCTAGTGTTATAATAAAGCATTGCATAAAAACTTTGAAATAATCAACAGTGCTTTTAAAATACAAGGTACAATGGTAATGGTTTTTTAGAAGGATTCATCAGCGAACAAGTGAATTCTTTTTGTTAAAACAACATTTTTACGGCAGAGATCTATTATTAACAAATACAACGATATTATATTTTGCAAGTGTCATATTAAAATGCAATCTATGGACTCTGCCAATGATGACAAAGCTAATAACACCTCACTCCTTAAAGTCCGTCAAGTCTAGGCTACAGTAGGCCATAAAGAAATAGCCACACATATAATCATTATATAAGGACATGATAGATCTTACCATGAGAGAGATACTCATGATATTAGATGAGGGTATGGGAGAGATGAATTCTCTTTTGCAGCAGTGGTTGTTAAGAAAGTGATTTTCATCTTCTTCATCATTATTAGCCCATAAAAGTCTACGGCCTGACATAAATCCTGACAGATCTACCTTAACCGCCACGCTTGGAAGGCGTATTGGGCGTCGCAGTAATAAACGTATCGCACTTTTGACCCTGTTCTCTGTCGCCGCCAGTCTGGGTATTTTATGTTTGGCGCAAAATAAAATTAAGCCACAGCAGCCTAGTGCACCGCACGCCAAAAGCACACCCGAGAAACTATGCATTTCACAGATACCACTCAGACGCTGACACCTGCAGTTAGCTAACCTTAAACAAAGTATGCTACAGATGCGTTGTCACCTCCAATGAATAATATGGAATGTCTCACAGCCTGTACTTAAATTGGTTCTGTAAAGTCTTCAAACCGTAACAAATCAGTGAGTGGTATGCTGTATTTTGACAGGAAAAGGTAAGAGGGTCCTCAGGCTCAGAAGGGCTAGAACCCAGAGCCGTAAAGCCAGTTATAAAAAAAAATAAGAGGGTCCTTTGAAGAAAAGGAATCCTACCAGCTAGTAAAAGTGATGCGATGCAATGATTCATCTCGAGTAAGATTTCATGCCGGTAATTAATATATTGGCTAATTAATGTATGAGCTTATAACAAGATGTGCTTTCGTGTTTTTTCTTTCAGGTACTGTCGGCTATGCGATTACAACACGTTATATATATGTGGAACGGATGAGTACGGAACTGCAACGGAAACAAAGGTATTTATTTTCTTGTTGGAACTGTGTACTGTTTATTTATGTATAATAATTTTCTCCAGAATTCGGTCGAATACGAATTTCGGTCACGGCGGCCAACCTCAACGGAGACTAGGCCATCGGCGCAGGATAGGATTAGGTCGTACCCAAGTGTATGCGCAAGCAAAGGTGCACTATCTTTTTTTTTATAGGAGATGGGGCAAACGAGCATGCTACTCATTTGATGGTAAGTGACTACCGCCGCCCATGAACAACTGCAACACCAGGGGAATTGCAGATGCGTTGCCGGCCCTTTAAATAGGAGTAGGCTCTTTTCTTGATTCTATTTTATTATTCTTTCTATTCTATTCTCTTACCCTCATAATCTGATGGATGGTAAACCGACACGACGAGAGAGAGAGAGATCAGGCGCAGGACCAACGGCTTTACGTGCTTTCTGAGGCACGGGGGTGAGACACCGCCAACTTCCTGACTCTGGACAGCTACTAAAAATTTCTTGCTGGAAAAACTCAATAACTGATGTTTTCTTGGGCCCGACCTGGGATTCGAAACCTCGACCTCATGATCAGCAGTCACACTACTACTACCAGTAGACCAACGAGGCAGCCATTTATGTATATACGAACGTTGACAATCTAGAGGCCTATTGGTTAAAGTAGGTACTCGTCACGGGTTCTAGATAAGAATTCTAAAAAATATATAAGGCAACTTAGCCATTGATCTTCATTTAATTTTAGAATGTATATAACCTTTGTGTTTTAGGCTTTGGAAGAAGGTATTACACCCCGAGAGATCTGTGACAAATATTTTGACATCCACAATGCTGTGTATCGCTGGTTCGACATTGGCTTCGATTATTTTGGAAGAACTAGCACGGCGGAGCAAACTGAGTGAGTTTTATTATGTTGTTATAATAACGCATTTGTCTGTACTATGATTATAACAGATTTCGCTGTTTACAATCCACTACTCCGTACAACGCGTAGGTGTCGTAAGAGGTGAAAAAGGGTAATGAATGAACAGGAGATGGGCAGCGAAGTTTTCTTGATCACTCAAAATAATAAAAATCTGTATTTGCCAACCGGCCTGCCAATCGTGGCAACTATAGCAAACAACAATAGTGGCAAATATAAGGCAATTTATGGGGGAGGTCTTAGTTCAGCAGTTTACTTTTTGCTGTAATGTATGAAGTAATGATAAATATTTATAACTAAAGAAATGTGTATGTGATTCTGCGGTTATGTTAGGCTTTAGTCGATATATATAGGTAGATAGAACGATAGAACTCAGGTGAGTGATAGGAAGTTCTATCGTGTGTGTGCGTGTGCACTGTCACCTTAATAATAATTTAAACAAATTTAATAAAGTAACTGTTTTTTATAGAATAAGGGTAACAAACGAGCACACTGTCCACCTAATGGTAAGTGGTTGCTGTGACCCATAGACATCTACATTTATCCTCAATAAAGTATCAAAATGCAGATGCGTCGTTACCCGTGAGCACTAAGATGGAATGCCTCTTTTCCAGTAAAAACGGTCTCCGGTTCTCTACACTCACTATACGAAACACAGCAGTGTCAAGCTGCCACTTTACGCTGGTATTCTGTGAGAGCGTGTTCCTTCCCCGGTCGAGCCGACCCATTCGTGCTACAACTATACTACTAATATAGCTGCAGCATGGCTCTACCATGTAAACAACTAATTTCTAACTTACATTATAAATGATAGTAAGTGGCAGTTGCCCATGGACACCTGCAGCCAACATCAGACAAAGAAGGCACATATGCGTTGTCACCTCAGAGTATTTAGGTGGAATGCCTCAAAGACTGTAATTATGCACATTCTCCATACCCTTCAGACTGAAACAATAGTGCTGGCACTGTTATTTTTTGGCTGAAATAGAAGTCCTAGTAGGTGGTGCCTACCCAAATAGAAGTCCTAGCAGGTGGTACCTACCCAAACAGTCTCTTAGGCAGCAAGAGAGTCCTAACACCTAGTAAATACATACAATCGTTATTAAAATTGTAATTGGTATATATTTAATATAACTAATTTTTGTTATACAGAATAGCACAGAAGCTGTTTCTCAAACTGATGGACAATGGATTCGTTAGTACGCAGTCGGTTGAACAACTGTTTTGTGAAAAATGCGAAAGATTCTTGGCGGATAGGTAAATGGATTTTATATATTTTTTATTCCTTAGTTGACTATTCTTTCCCTAGAGTCGTAAGAAGCTTTATGGATTGGGTGATCTTGATAGCTTCCGATCTCAAGACACAGCCGTAGGACTAACAACATTCCTCATGAACACCTCATACTATACACACATACACACCTCAACCTCCTAACTCTCTCTTTTTCTCTCTCTCTCTCTCTCTTTCCCTCTCTCTCTTTCTTTCTTTCTCTCTCTCTCTCTATCTTTATTTCTCTCTCTCTCACACATACACACGCATATGCAGACACACACACACCACCACCAAATGTTAGTAATTTGTTTTACTTTATTATTATAATTTCATAAGTACCTAATCATTAGTCTATAATGAAATTGTACTGGAAGAGTGGAGCTCCCATAAGCTATCATAAGCAAAGCATTTGCTTAAAAAAAAAAAAGCTCCAACCATAATATACTGTATAAACTAAATTAAGTTATTGAATAAAGAATATTGAATTTTTAAATCGAGTATGGGAAACATCACTCACCAAACACAGCAGCAATATATTGCGGGTGAGTACGTGGTCAATACTCAGTCATGTCTACCACGTAAAATAAAGTTTTCTTCTTTAAGTGTCCAGAGCTTATAAGTAGCCATGTAACCCATAGGTTTGTAGAGGGTGTGTGCCCACACCCGGGCTGTTTGTACGACAGCGCGCGCGGTGACCAATGCGACAAGTGTGGGAAGCTCATCAACGCCATAGAACTCGTGGAACCGAGGTGCAAAGTGTGTTCGCATAAACCTACCGTAAGGCCCAGTGAGCAGTTATTCATCGAGCTGGGACAGGTATAGAATTTTATTTTACAGGTATAGGATAACTAGTAGTGTTTGCGTAAACATAATGAATTTGAGAGAATTTTATCAAGCATTGTAAAGATAAAACAGACTTCAGGGATCTTATATTAATAATGTTCAACAAAAAGCAACAAAATAAAAATTACTAGCTCAGATAAAGAATGGGATTGTAAATGGCGTTGTCTCTATTCATCTCTTGCTTGCACGTGGTATGTGTATGCGTTGTGATAAGCGTTATTTTTGCTTTTAATTTTAGGTCCAAGTAAAATAAACACATCAACAGAATCTAGGGATATTTTATATTTCATCAAATATCTAAAAATCTATGAAGAATTTTCTGATATAGTGAATGGAAGAATGATAGTTTATTTTAAGGTCTTTGATAAAAATAAAACACGTTTCGTAATTTTTTGTTTACAATAAAAATGTAAATTTTTTAATCGACGTAGAAAATTAGTGTGATAAAAAAAAAACTTAATTTCTGCTTATAAAACTATTAATTTTAATTAAAATTGAAAAAATGCATGAGTAGAAATTCCTGGCCCATTTGAATTCTGTGTGGAACAATATCTCATCGTGGTATTTTTGTGCAGTCATGCTGCTTTGGATCCAAACGAGCTGGGACGAATTCCTGCCCACACCATGATTGTCCAGTCTTGGTATGAGTAGACCTCCTGAGGGTGCCGTAGACTGTTAACTCTCCCTGGAGTTCTCCAATCGAGTGTTCTTCGTGAATCCAGATGAAATCTAAATCGGAAATCGTCGGTGAACAGCACCAAAAACCATTGTTCGCTACTCCATGGTAAATGCTCCCGAGCCCACGAAAGCCGCCGACCGCGATTGTCACGTAGCAATGCTGGAACACGTAGCGATCTTCGAGCATGAAAACTAACATCATGCAACCTCCTTACCAGCAGCTGGTGCTTCTCCTGGAGCCTTTGTAGTAGTTGCATCGCTGTGATATTGGGACATCTTTTGGTGGTAATTTGGAAAAATCGAACTTGTCTATGCCATTCAGCCACATCCCCAGTCTTGATTAAGACTACAATCTTGATATCACGTTTTGGCTGCTGTGTAGGGCCTCAGCAAAGACGCGTTGAATAGCACCATTTTCTAACATGCCCACGGCTCGTAACATTTCATTTCGATTTAAATGATGACGTGACATGACTCTTAAAGCTCACATGGCACGTTAAGTTAAAAAACAAAAACAATCTAATTCCTTTTCTTTAATTAATATCAGTAAAAGAATTTTAATTTTCCATAGTAGTAGTAGTTATTACTAATTCGTTTAGTAGTAGTTAGTAATTCGTTTTGTCAAATAACAAATTACTAACAATTTTTCCGCCGTATTTTGATTTTTTTATTTACATTTTTAAATTTTGAAAATAGAATAAAAGATATATAATAATAGATAACCTCTTTTATTTTATTTTTTGTATATAAACTTTTTATGGAAACTAAAAATATTTTAAACTATAGTCGTAAATAATTTCAGATGAAGGTATTCCTAGATTATGATGATGTGTGTATTACAATTGCTGTTCAATATGTTTTTATTTATTACATGATTTTATGCAGTATCAATTATTAAATTACTAAAATATAACGTCATAAGTTGCATTGTTTTCGCTTTAGGTATTGTTTATGCTGGCAGTACAGCTTCGATGAGTCGCTATTATTGATCCCATTTTTTATCCGCGCGGGTATAGCACGGTTGCGGAGCAGGAATTATTTTATTGCTTTGCATTTTTGAACTTAATTTCCATCATGAAAAGTTTTATTTCTATTGCAACTAAGATAGTTTTAGGACCTTATTCGTGATTCGAAAACCGAGTTTATTCTCAAGTTAAGTTCACATTTGTATGAATTGCAATAATTTGATATTCTTCCTGCTCCGCGATCACGTCATATTAGAACGTGTGTTGTGTATAAGTAACACTACGAAAGTCTAGCGGTCATCGTTATTGATCAAAAGTCGCGCCGATTGACTTATTGCGCATGTCGCGCTGATTGGCTCGTGCGTACCGTTCGCACACGCTGATTGGCTCTCCAGTCGCATGCGTGCAATTCAATTGGTGCGCGTCCCCTGTACGTCTCGATGAGCGCTAGAGTTGTGGCGCGAGTAGTACGGGGCGTGTGTGGTGTGTGGTGTGTCGGCAGCTGGAGGGCGCGCTGCGCACGTGGGCGGGCGGCGCGGAGCGCGGCTGGTCGGCGCCGGCGCGCGCCGTCACGCGCGCCTGGCTGCGCGACTCGCTGCGCGCGCGCGCCGTCACGCGCGACCTCAAGTGGGGCGTGCCCGTGCCCATACACAAGTACGCCAACAAGGCGAGTAATTATAATAATAAGCCTTTTTATTTACATAACAAATACATTTTTACAAAATAGATCTTGATGTGAAAACATCTTTAGGGTGGTGTGGTAACACACTTAGAATCGTTGTGATTTAAAACTCGATAAAAATAAAAAGATACAAACATACATCTATACAATTTAGCTTCTACGAGATAGAATACAGTATACGGTGTTTATTACAAATTTATTTATATTTTAATTACATACAATTCTCCTACTATTCTCTCGGAATTTAGTTTTCTGAAAGTTTCACTTCTACAGCGTGTAAATACGCACATGTTTTTGTTTTATAAAATGAAGTGAGTAACGGACTCACAATCCACTTAATTAATTGTAAGTGACTACTGCAGCTCATGCACACTACCAGCCAACGTTGAACAATAAAGACTCTGAATATGTTGTGACTATGTGATACACAACAAAGCGAGTGTTGAATTTGGGTTATTTCACGATAAAGTAAGTAAGATTTCTTGAATATTGGTTTATTAAAAGAACCAAACATAAACGAAACACCAACATCCAAGAAAACAATAGTAACCAAAATGCTAATATAAAAGCATAATATAATATATGTAAAAAATTTTTTTTGCTCGATAACGAGGTAACGTACATTTATTTCTTAAATGCAACAAAGTAATTCGACAAAAAAAAAACATTATGACACCATTAAATTTAATTATCTGTTAGCACATACCCACTTAACTAGCATAGCTTTGACTGCCGTATTAGTGTAATGGTTGCATACACGACTGCTGACTATGTGAAAACGGTTTTTTTTTTATAAAATGTAGTGGTTAACGAACTCTCGGTCCACCTGAATCGTACCACGAGTACCACCGAATCAGTAATTCATTCTTGGGGCGATGTATACGCTTTTATAACGAAAAATTTGTCCTGCTCAAAGTTCAAAAATTGTTTTAAAAAAATTTGGTTAATAAGGGTTATTATAATATTAAGGAATTTATGGATGATAATAACCCCTGGGAATGATGTGATCGCTACAAAACTATTTCTAATTTGTTTTGTGTTGTTAATTGTGATTACATGATTGTAAGCTGTTATTTAAAAAAAAAAGTACCACTGGGTTTCTTGTTGATTCTTCCCAAGACAGAGGTTTTCTTCGAACCAGTGGTAATTAAACAAAAGTGACTTTCAATAAGTATTTTTTTTTTTTTTTTTTATAGGAGAGGGGGCAAACGAGCATGCGGCTCACCTGATGGTAAGTGACTACCGCCGCCCATGAACAACCGCAACACCAGAGGAATTGCAGATGCGTTGCCGGCCTTTTAAAAAGGAGTAGGCTCTTTTCTTGAAGGTCCCTAAGTCGTATCGGTCCGGAAAAATCCCTGGAGGTAAACTATTCCACAAGGAAGTTGTGCGAGGAAGAAAACATCTTCTAAATCGCACAGTGGTGGACCGCCAATCATCCAGATGGTGTGGATGGTATCGGGAGTTCTGCCGCGATGTGCGTTCGTGAAATTTGGCGGCTGGGATTAATCCGAACAATTCCTCAGAGCACTCCCCATGGTAGATGCGAAAGAAAATGCAAAGAGATGCAACATCTCTTCGCAGTGCCAATGAATCGAGCCGATCGGAAAGGGCTCGGTCGTCGACGATTCGAGCCGCTCTGCGCTGGATGCGGTCAAGTGGAAGGAGCTGGCACTGGGGAGCCCCTGCCCAGAGATGGGAACAGTATTCCATGTGAGGCCGAACCTGCGCCTTGTAAAGTTGCAGGCGGTGTGCCGGCATGAAATACTGTCCCGCTCTGCTGAGCACGCCAAGCTTTTTAGAGGCCAATTTGGCCTTCTCTTCCAAGTGACCACGAAACTGCACGTCACTCGATATGCCGACTCCGAGGATACCGATACTGGCTGAGGCAAGAAGGGGAGTGCCTTGAAACTGAGGAGATACGACAAAGGGGTTCTTTTTAGCGGTAAACGCGCAAACTTGTGTCTTCTGAGGATTAAACTGGACTAGATTTAGTCGCCCCCAATCCGAGACTTTGTCCAGCAAAGACTCGACTTCAGACACAAGTTTGTTCCGGTACTCGGCGACGTTTTCCCGAGAAATATTGGCCCGGCCGGTGTATAGAGCATCACCAGTGCTGTCATCCGCATAGCAATGAATGTTACCAGTTAGCAACATATCATTGATATGCAGAAGAAACAGCGTTGGTGATAGCACACAGCCTTGTGGAACACCAGCGTTAATAGGCTTGTAGTCAGAACATGCACCGTCTACAACGACCTTGATGCTCCGATCTGCAAGAAAGCTGGTGATCCAATTGCACAATTTCTCGGGAAGCCCATAGGAAGGCAGCTTTGAAAGAAGCGCTTTGTGCCAAACCCGATCAAAGGCCTTCGCAATGTCCAGACTAACAGCCAACGCCTCCCCCTTGGACTCTACTGCCTCCGCCCATCTATGGGTCAGGTAGACAAGAAGATCACCAGCTGATCGACACCGACGAAAACCGTATTGGCGGTCACTAATCAGCTGGTGATCCTCAAGGTACCGGATGAGCTGGCAGTTAATAATGGATTCCATTATTTTGGAGAACAAGGAGGTGATCGCGATAGGCCTATAGTTGGACGGGTCTGAGCGGTCGCCTTTTTTAGGGATCGGGTGGACAAAAGCTGTCTTCCATGAATTCGGGACTACGCCTTGGGAGTAGGAGTACCGGAAAAGACGCGTTAGGACCGGTGCCAACTCCGGAGCACACGTCCTCAGCACAATTGGGGGGATTCCGTCAGGCCCACTCGACTTCTGGATGTCCAGGGAGAGCAGTGCTTTGCGAACCGAGCGCTGTGAGAACAGCACATCCGGCATGGAGCACTCACACCGCGGGATGGTCGGCGGTGTTTTCCCCCCGTCATCAAGAGTCGAGTTGGACGCAAAAAGGGAGCCTAAAAGGTCGGCTTTGTCTTTTGCGTCATGGGCCAGTGAGTCATCCTCCCTGTGCAGAGATGGTAGTGATGGCTTACAGAAATTCCCTTGGACAGCCTTGGCGAGAGACCAGAATGCACGGGTTCCCGAAGGAAGGCGAACTAGTTTCTCGCCAATTCTGCCTATGTGCTCTGACTTTGCCTTGGCAATAACTCTTTTGAAGGACCTGGAGGCGAAGTTATACTTCTTTTTAAGTGTGCTGGTGTTTACATCCCGAGTCACTGAAGCTGCAGCCCAGGCTTGATAACACTCCTGCTTACTGCGCAATGCAGTCTTACAGGAGCGACCAAACCAAGGCTGAGATCTGCCTCCGATGGGTACCACAGATGATGGAATAAATAGTTCCATTCCCTGTAGCACCACATCAGTGACAGAGTCAGCAACAGCACTGGGATCATCCGGCGAGAAGCAAACCCGCCCCCATGGGTAGGATGCAAAGAAAGACCGCATTCCGTCCCAATCCGCCGACCTGTAATGCCAAACACGGCGGCAACCTGCAGAACGCAACCGCGAAGGGAGCGTGAGTGGCACCATACTCCGGATCAGACAATGGTCCGAAGAGCCGAGAGGGGCATCGACGGAAACCTGATATCCGTCCGGATGAGAGGTCAGCAGAAGGTCCAACAGGGAAGGTGTATGATCCTCCACATCTGGAATCCGCGTAGGCGAAGTAACCAGTTGTGTCAGACCATATGCCAAGGCAAAGTCATAAACAGATCTCCCCGCATGATCGGTTAAACGTGAACCGAGCCATTCGGCATGGTGGGCGTTAAAATCGCCAAGGATCACGATCTCTGCGGATGGGACCTGTTGTAGCAAGGAATCTGTAGCCATTTGGACGTGGTCGATGAGTCGGTCTGTTTCGGCATTACCGCTATGGGACCTATAGAGGCACCCGTAGACGCGCGGATGGTCGTCGCTGTCTACGCGTAGCCAAAGGATGGACAGGTCCGAACCTTCAAGACTGCCGAGGCGTCGAGAACAGATGTCCTCTCTAACATACACGCAAACTCCAGCCCGAGGCACAAAGGAGTGCTCCAATTTGTACCCCGGGTAGGAGAGATACGAAATATCAGTCGGAGAGGAAACCTGCGTCTCGGTCAAAAAGAGCAAGGCCGGCTTCGCCGTCTCGAGATGGTAGTGGACGGCGTTTAGGTTACAGTGAAGTCCCCTGATGTTGCAGAAATTCACGGATAGCGTGGCAGGGGTCGCCTTGGTATTGTTGCTCAGCTTGCCCCGAGCAGTTTTGTTTTTGAGCGGAATTTTGCCCCCCCCAGAATACGCGGGGCAGCCTGAGCACCCACGCTCAGGATTGGAATAACATGGTCGTGGATGCTCAGCGAGGGATTCTCCAGGGGTACTGGTACCCTCCTGGGGTAGTCTATTGTCTAATTCCGCTACCATGTTGATGGGGGGGGGGGGGGAATTGGGCCTCCGGCCACCTGCACTCACCAGACGAAACGCAGAAGCAGAGCCTCTACTTCACGCCGGTATTCTGTGAGGTCCTGGTACCAACCCGGCTCGAGCCGGCCCAAACGTGCAACAGCAAAAAACTGCTGCAGGGCTCTACCACCGTTAAAAGTAGTAAAAGTATTATTTATAATCTATATTGAATAGAAAAAAATCTGTTTCTGTTTCGTAAGTGGATACTGCAGCTCATACATACTTGCAACAAACTCTCTGGATGCATTGTCACCTCTGAGGGCTAACATAGAATAGAAGAGAGCCTCATATTCTGTAATTATACTGGCTCTCTATACTCTTCAGATCTGGTGACAGAATTATATAAGAGGATGGTACCAATCCACATGGCTTTGAAAGATTTTCACTACCGTGAAACCTGGCAGGGTTTTTTGGAGGGACATAAAAGTTTAAGACCAATTTTCCAACATAAAAGGTATTCTCATACTGGGCGTTAATGTTAAAAGTGACAGTATATTCTTCATAGATTTTATATTTATTAGTGATTTAAACAAATACTAACATTAAATAGACAAAATACTCAAAAATATAAAATGGCAAAGCTAACCTCACTTTCTGGCTTTATTATAATGAAAATAATAGGACTTGACTTCAAGGTTGAAGATAAGTTGACCACATAATATAATACACAACACTCAGAGTTATGATTTGTTCCTTTAATTGTGTTGCAAATAGCAAAGTTTAGGCTAGTAGCAAAGTTGCCCTCCCATTTTTAAATTTTTCATACAAACTTGAAAATGTGTTTTAATGTTGTCAAAAACCTCAATTATGTACTTTACTTAATTTTTTTATTTAAATCTTTTCACAATAATTTCTTATGCAAAATCTAAAATATACCAAAAAACATACTCTCCCCTAAATTAGAAAATCAAATTGGTGCAATAATAAGCTTAAATCAATTATAGTATAGATCAAATAAAGCTTGTCACAATAATTTTTAACAAGTATTCGTTTTTATATTAGTCATCATCATGATTTTATTACGATCAGGTAAAAATCTAAATATTGTTTTTCCAAAATATCAAAACATTCATTATCATTAAAAATGACACTGCTTTTGGGTGCAAATTAATATCAATCCACTAAGTTGAAATTATGAAAAATACTGAGTAGTAATACTACTATTAATGCCCGACATCGCGGTAAAAATAATATAGACTTCTCTTTTCTTTTCCTTCACTTTTGATAAAGTTGAATCAATTGACATGAGTTATTTAGTAAAATTGGTCTAATGAGTTGCTATGGGAAAATATCGATACAAACATACCTACATAGAAATGTCAAGTACCTACAGAACCCTTTCTTTAAATCGTTGTAAATGGGTAAAATATAGGTTGAAAGTGACAACCCTTGGTTGGCATCACTAGTATGGTAACTTTACAAAGTTAGTTTTATAGATAAGTGTTAAGACCAATATGTTAAAAATAAAATATTACATTTCCTAACCATTAATGTTACGTTACTACTAAGATATATATATATATACATATATATATATATATATTTATATATATATATACATATATATATATATATATATATATATATATATATATATATATTGTTACTGCCCACAGCTGCCCCTGCAAAGGTCGCCTTGGCTAGGGCCCATAGTAGCCTCCTCGACGGGCAGCCGAGGATTCGGGCTCAAATGGCCTTATGGAAAATGACCTATCATACTACAAAATAAGGCTAGGATAAGGCTCGGTCAGGCCGTAGGTAGAGTAGATCCATGTAAAGTGGTGTTTAGTGGTGTGTATATGTAGGTGACCTGGCCCAGCTGAGGTGACCTGGCAGCGCGACGGTTTCCATGCTGCCCCACAATGCTGCATCACTCCAGCAGGCGTCCACAATGGACAGTATCTTTCTTCATTGTCACTATTTCAGTCCATTAACTTTATTTTACATTTAACTAACTTCAACTCGCCTAATTCAACATTCCTCGTAGAATGGAACACGTGATACCCGACACAAGCAACGGACAGTAGTTCAAAGTTCAACACTCAATGTCCCGGATTCATTTATCACCAAATTACAAATAGGGAACTAACGCGATCTTTTCATGAGTCACACGGTTCACCGTTACAAACACAACTAAGTTCCTTCGTTCGATATTAAACACCACGCCGCATTAAGAATTCAAAATTAACCTAGCTGACACGTAAACTAGCTACCGAGTCAACACACAAAAGGCTCTTAACGCGACGGCATAATTAAACGATGATTTCCAAACAATCAACCGGGAGACGCCCTGGATAAAGGAATGCGCGGTTCGAATTCTAGACCGTATATCTACTCGGCGCGCGCGTGCGAAATTCCACGTCACCCGAGCAAGATAAATATTGCAAAATGCACTTCAACACACCATCTCTATATAATTTGCACAATTACTGTCAAAGAAGTTACTTCAATCAGTCAAACAATACAAGCCTCTTGTCAAGAACCAAAAACCTAGACAACCTAAACCGAGGCGGTTTTCACAAAACCCCAATTACGTAGCGAAGTAACACGCACTAAATCTAACAATCTAGACCATACACCGGTCGCGCGAAACTTCTGCAGCGATAACCGATATACGCGGATTAACCGCACCGCTGTCAGCGAGCTACTGTTCGACTCGACTCAGCTGCCGGTAGCAACCAACTCCCGCCAACCGCCCACTCGTCTAACCGATTATGAACGCGCCGTATCGAGCCGAGCCCTCTGGCGTTAAATCTTGAAACCATCGTTTGGGCGCGAACATATATATATGTAATAGATATATACATTGAGTATTTCAAACAAAATCCACAAAAGTTCTGGAGCTCTGAACAAAGGTTACCTCGCCTACCCATCTCCGCGTTAAAATAAAATGCCAAAATTAACCCTCATGTGTCGAAAACAATGCTGTTAGTTTTAAATTTTCATTTAAAAATGGCATATTTCGAAAAACGTTACGTCGCCCGTGTTAATCGTAATTTTTTACCTGTAATTCCTGATGGCAAAGTTAACTTCCATTGGTAATATTGCCAGACTGGACTGTCTCATGGCGCCGAAACAATATGATTGTTAGATTATTATTTGAAATACTCAATGTATATATATAGAAACGAAAAAATAAACTTGAGGTGTTACCACCATTAGAATAACTATTTCATTGATTCCACTGATAACTAACATGAGCAGATATGTGATGCCTCAAAATTACACTACTTCAAACTGCTGGACGCACAAAATATACATCTGAAACCATGTTGTAGGTTGCAAATTATATTAGGTGCATATGTGTAAATGAGTGCTAGTTCTTTTAATAAGTTTATTATCTCAAAGCGCCTTAGTAGGTAAAATAACTAGAGGTTTACGAGTACATCACATTGGAGCACTTGGTCATAATTTTCACTACACGATCATATATACGCAGAAATTTATTGAATATAGGCTAATTTAAGAGTATATCTAGTTTAACCGACGGTCATGTATGCATAGTAAGAAAGCTGTGTCAGCATCACCCCAAATGGAAGTCCGTAGTCTCTATCTACCATTCTGGATAACAGGCAAGAGAGTTTATGTTATATTACAAAACAACTTATAAATTAAAAAAATATATATTTATTTTTCATACCCCTGCTGAAAATATTTAATATACGTAACTACTTCGACGGCTCCGTGACGCAGTGGCTTAGCAATAAGTTGCAGCGCTAAGGGCCGCGGGTTCGAAAAACGCACGGAACAAGTATTTTAATTATTATTAATCTTCATATTTTTAAATTAAAGGTATTCTACGTATGGTTCGACGCCCCAATCGGATACCTGAGCATAACGCAATGTGCAACGAAACAATACGAAAAATGGTGGAAACCTGACAAAGAATACGATGTAAGTTTTTCTCGTTTAACGGAACAGTAACGAGTAAGTAGTTTAAGAGATTTCAATTATTCGAACCTGTTTCTCACAGACTGGTGATATATTAATTACCTGTGTTAATGTATTGAATTTGCCCACTCCCCCTCCATTGTACGAGTAGTATGAGCAAACTTTTAAAGGTCTATATCAAACAATTGGGAATGGTAATGTGGGGAGTATAATACTATAATATCGAAAATCCTGGCTCTTTTTATTGATGGAGTTCTTTAATTTCTCAGTCCCATAGATTCACACGTTTTTAAATTGTTCAATTATTCTGAGTCTGTAATTTTTATAATAATTTATTAGTAAGTAATATATTCGCCAGGTAAAACTGTACCAGTTCATGGCGAAGGACAACGTTCCATTCCACGTGATTATGTTCCCGGCGACCGTTATCGGTGTAAACGAAGGTCACAAGCTCGTCGATCACATATTTGCAACTGGTAAATTATTTTTTTAATTAGAGCAATTGGCTAGTGTAGCCACCCTAGCTACTGAGCTAGGGTGACTGAAAGTATTATATAAGTATACTTAATAATTTTTTAAATGTAGATACACTAGATGGTTGTGCTGTTTTTCAGCTAAGTAGCCTGTCATCGTAAGTACCTAAATATTTCCTACACTAAGCAGTATTGTGTCTACTCTTGTGTTTTCCAAGGTTTTTCGATTTCCAAGTAAGTGTTACATCTCAGTTCTCTGAAGTGACAAATCACCTATAGTCTCTTTGCTAGGTTCCAGTAGCCTATAAACGTTGTTGGCTGGATTACAAACTCTTTTGTCACTTTGGGGTTAAAAAAATGAGCTTAAATATCTATATATAATAAATACACCACATTTTAATCATAAGTACCATGTTTTTTACTATATTTATTACTACTATTTGAAAACAAACAAAGTTGAGTAACAATAAATGGAAATTAAGAAAGTAATAGCAGCCTGTGCACGTCCTATTTATTAAAATATAAATAAGTACAGTAATCCCATTCGAACAAAGGTTATTGAATGCCTTAAGCGCAAAGCGCGTAGGTATGTTCCACTAGCGCCTAAAAATCAAGATTCCAACGTTTTGTCTCATAAAATCGTATCTAACAATAATATTGAACATATAAATTATATAAAAAGCACATTGTCAGAAAGATAAATGATTGTTGAACTTATTAATATTTTTTACATCGATTAATTGCTATTTTTATATAAAAAAGTGGTTTTAGTGGCTTATAATGTAGATTTATCAAGTCCGCATAGAGTGGTAAACACGATAACTTTTGAAAATGTCAATTGTTTAACTCAATTTATTTTTTAATCTCTTCATCTATCATGTGGGAAACCATGGAATGTAAATTGCAGTTTAATTTTCTTTTATTTAGTTATAATTAATTTTTTTCGGCTGCGAAATCTCGAAATTTTCGGTTTTTTAGGAGCCTTGTATTAATTTATTTTACTAAATACACTTTGCTCTGCCTTACTACGCGCTCGGCCGCTGTCGTGAGTAGTTTGCTGTATCGTTTGCTTACAGCAGCGGTAAATAGGCAGCAAAAATATCGATCGCTGTAGAAATACAAAATATTCAAAAAACCAAATTTGATACATACTTGACTAAGGTTATTATTTTTATAATCACAGATTTTTATTATAGTATTTTGTCGCTAAAAGTACTTAGGATTTATATATAAATATACTTATACGTACGGCAGGTGAAGTGTAGGGCGTCTTCCCACTAGATGAAGTGACGACCTGGTAAGACATGCACGAATTAATGGATGCAGGTGACTCGTGATCGTGCTTTGTGGCATTCCTTGGGGGAGGCCAATGTTCAGCAGTGGACTTGTGAAGGACTGTAATGATGATAATGATGATGATATGTCTTGGACTTTATGGAGTAATCTGAAGGTGTACTTCAGATTAGTCCATAAAGTGAATCACTTGTGTGAACGCTACTGGAACTCCTCGTAGAGTAGAACTAGGTGTGCAGAGTTTGGCCTCGTTTTGTTAGTTATGATGAGATCTTACCTCCGGACTTGATAAAATGACATGAAGGTGAACTTCGGTGAATGCTACTGGATCTCCTCGAAGAGTAGAACTAGGTGTGCCAAGTTTGGCCTCGTTTTGTTAGTTATGATGAGACCTTACCTCCAGACTTGATAGAATCACCTAAAAGTGTACTTTGATGACTGCTACTGGAACTCCTCGAAGAGTAGAACTAGGTGTGCCGGTTTTGACCTCGTTTTGTTAGTTATGATGAGACCTTACCTTTGGACTTGATAGAGTGACCTAAAGGTGTACTTTGATGACTGCTACTGGAACTCCTCGACGTGGAGAACTAGGTGTGCCGAATTTGGGCTCGTTTTGTTAGTTATGAATAGACCTTACCTCCGGACTTGATGGAGTGACTTGAAGGTGTACTTCGGTGACTGCTACTGGAACTCTTTGACGAATAGAACTACAATTCACACTTTTTTAATTATATCACTATCATATGAGTATTATGTATGAGTCGTGCACTTTTGGAGTTTCCAAGCTTTTTTTTTTAATTGAAATTTGACATTAAATTATCGGATAATGGAAGTATTATTCATGATTAAACAAACTTACCTGTAAGTGAAGTTCTATCATAATTATGTGAGGTGTTTCGTTCTCGAGATTAGATAACACAGGTAGTCTCACATACAATGTCGCCATCTACCTACGCACTTAGTTAAAAGTAAAAATAAAACAAGACGGTAGATTAATATTACTTCATAGTTGCACTGCGCTCGATTCATCATTTAGTTCAGAGTAGACACATAACATGTGGGGATATGAGGGTTAAAAATAAACAGGGCGGGGGGATGCTAATCTCTTCGAACGAAACACCTCACATAATTATGATAGAACTTCACTTACAGGTAAGTTCGTTTAATCATTAATTATGCTTCAGTGTTTTGTTCTCGAGATTAAATAACACAGGTAGATGTTGAGAGTTAATTGTGAAATATCCCAACAGAAATTATTTATAGTGGAAAGAAAAATCCAATATTTCATAAACTAAATAAATTTAATTATAATCATTATGAATAGAGTATACAAGGAAATACACTGCTATGACATACGATTATCATCATTAATGATACATACATATTTAAGTGGCAATAAGTAAACTGTTAGCGAAAATATGTCTATCAGTTTCAGTTGATATTATCCTGTTATAGAACTTCGCAAAAGTTGTGGATGCACCAGTCCATCTGGCAGTTTTCCTTATAATACTCGTATCTAAATTGACACCTAGTTTATGGGCTTGAGAGGTGCTCGCGTGCCTAGTACTATGCGCACAGAATGTAGTAACGTCAACCCCGCTAACCTTTAATGTACTTTTTATCCATCTACTTAGCGTTTGAACAGAAACCTTATTGTGTGGCTTTTTTGTACTAATAAAAAGACTAGTGTGATTATTACGTAGAGACTTTGTAACATTTAAGTAATCGGAAATCAACTCAGCAGGACATATTTCGGGTCTTTCTCTAAAGTATGGAAGAACAAGGGTTGGCTGATTAGAATTAATGTGAGATGTTTTTATCAGACCGGGGACTTTAATAGAAATTTCATTGAGTGAAATTCTTATATTTTGAATATTTATTTTTGATAGGGTTTGGGCCCTGTGCGCTGTTATTAGTGCAAGTAGCGTAACTAGCTTTTTTGATATCTTCTCTAAAGGTAGATTCTGATTCGGCACCCAACTAGGAAGAGTTTCAATTACTGTTGAGGTGTCCCAAGTTGAATCATATTTGGGTAACGGGGGATAAAGTCTAAATAAACCTTTAAAAAATATTTTTATACGGTCATCCTCGCTGATTTGACGTCCTATAATCAGAGCAAGGGCAGATCGACAAGTATTTAGGGTACCATATTGGGCTCCAGAGTGGTAAAGACTCGTTAAGAAATAAATAATAATTGGTATTGATGCCTGATACATGTCAATGTTGGTATTCTTGCAAAAATTATACCATTTTTTCAGACATGTATCATATTGTTTGATAGAATTAGCCGAAAGAGAAGCAAACATAATCGGAATAGAAGTAGGGGGAATGCTTCCTCTCAATAAAGATTTCCGCATAAGACTCCGACAACCAGGGTAATCCGCTGATGTATCTGGCGGTTGCTGGAATGTGAAATAATTAGTTTCTTAGAAGAATTAAAAATCTATGGCTTAGAGTCCAGGAGTCAATTAAACAGGGGATACCATGGCTGTGATGGCCATGTCGGTACTATCAGTATATCCCTAGCTTTATCACTAATAATTTTTCTTAATGTTTTAAGAACAATTGAGAAAGGTGGGAAACCATAAAACAAAAAATGTGACCAACAAATTGAGAAAGCGTTGATAGTATAGGCATCAGGATCTTTATGCCATGATACATATTTTGCACATTTTTTATTTATGCGGCTAGCAAATATGTCAATAACTGGTACACCAAAGGTTTCAGTAATCTGTTGAAAAGCAAAATCTGATAATTCCCATTCAATATCGGGGTGGACTTTTCTAGATTTGGCGTCAGCAATAGTGTTCTCAACAGATGGAATATATAAAGCAAAAATGAAAAGATTACGTGCTTCGCACCATTGCCATAGTTTTTAGTAAGCCTATTTAAATAAGGGTACTGTATTCCTCCCATACGATTTATGTACGAAATTGCTGTTGTATTATCTATACGTAAGATTATTTGACTATTGGATAATTTTTTGGCAAATATTTTAAGACCAAAGAAAGCCGCCATTAATTCTAAATAAATAATGTGATGCTTTCGTTCAGCGTTACTCCAAATACCGCTTGCAGTCTTTCCCATACAGGCCACGCCCCATCCCGTTGTTGAGGCGTCAGAATTAATTTCCACACTGAATTCATCAAATTTAATTTTACTTACAGCTTTATCAATGGAATTTATCCACCAATTAAAATCTGAATCTAGAGTAGTTGGTAGTCATAAATTTATCATAATTTTCGTCTCCTTTCAGATTAAGGAATTTGCACCTTTCGAACTCCTTAGTGTAAAGCCAGCCGTATTCAGTAGCCGGACAAGCCGATGTTAACAGACCTACTAAACGTGCAAAGTCCCTGATTCTACATCTTTTAAGTTTTTTATATTTTAATAATTTAGCTTTAATTTTTTCACGTTTTGTAAGAGGTAAACTGATTTCCATTGTATTGGAATTTATAATAAATCCCAGATATTTACAGATATTACTAGGAATCATACAGCTTTTAATTTTATTAATAATGAAACTTAAGCCACAAAGAAGTTTCTTCGTGACGTCAATATTTTTTACACATCCGCTATAGGTGTGGGATATAAGACATAAATCGTCTAGATAGATTACTGACAGGTTACCAATACATCGTAATAGTTTGACAACCGGTTTCATTATTTTTGTGAACACGTAGGGTGCAGTATTGATACCGAACGGGAGAACATTAAATTCATATAGTATATGCCTCCATTTAAATCTTACATATTTTCTTGAATTGTCATGAATTTTTATTAAAAAATATGAGTCTTTAAGGTCTATTGTTGACATAAAACAACTTTTTGAAACAAGTTTTACCATTGTTCGAAGGTCTTCCAATTTAAAATGCTTTGTGTATATAAATTTGTTCAATTTTTTTAAATTTGGAATAAAACGTGTCCTACCGTTCGGTTTCGGTACTAAAAATATGTTAGATATGAACTGACCATCACATGGTTCACATTTTGAAACAGCGCCTATAGACAGTAAACTGTTTATTGCCTGATCGAAGTCTCTTGTTTCAGATGGGGAATAATTAGGTTGTGGAATATGATACTGATAAGGTGTTTGTGAGAAGGGTATTTCATACCCCTTTATGCATGACAATATAGTTTGGTCTGATGTTATTTGTGACCATTGGTCATAGAAAAGAGATAGCCTGCCGGCATAATTTACCTCATCATTTAGCGGCGGCCGCGACTGTTGCCTGGACGTGACGCTCTCGATGATGGTACTTGCTGTTGTCTCGTTGAAGGTGCAGGTTCTTTCGCCCTCTGAGACCCCGTCGGCCTGCGGCTCGGGGCTGGCGCCTTCCAGTTTAAATTCTTGTTGGAAGACAAATTTTTTGGTTTGTTTGCGAAGACCCTTTGCGTTGTGACGGCCTTTAGTTCAGCTCCTGACTTATTTATTGCTTTAGCAGTTCTTAATGTATCCGAGAGCTCCTGCCCAAAGAGTAAGTTATCAATCTTTGTCAACTGCATCTGATCTTTCAGTTCTCTCTTCCGTGTAGCCAGGATAAAACTACGCCTGGTGACTGAGTCCTTATGTTGTGAATCACACAAGATGTGTGCTGTATCCATTAGCAATTTTAATATTGTTGGATCTTTTGTATCCTTAGACAATAAGAGTGTAATTGCTTCACTAAGACATGCGCTAGCGCTACATATTTGTTTTTGTTTAGCTTGTATAGCCTTATCTCGCTTTACTATAACCTCTGTGATAGCAGCCTTTATCTCTGGATTCAAGGACGGAGCGTCTATCATTTTACAGTTAGCTGGGGGTAGATGAGATTCTAAGAGCTCTTTACGAAGTTCCTTTGTCAATCCAGAAGTTGCTGTAAATTCAAGGCGAATGGCCAAGTCCTTTTGAATGTCCTTTCCAAAGGTTACAGTTGTTAAAGGATCTGTTCCTAAATTTTTTTAACACCGTCTCATCTAGCTCCTGAGACTGCTGATCCTCCTTCTCGGTAGGAGACGGTTGTTCAGTCGCTGGTTGTGGAGGTTCGAATATCACTTCAGGTGCATTTAACGCCAACAGCGAATTCCACTGTGATGTGCCAGTTGTCGGTTCTAGCTCGTCTAGGTCCGCAGTTAGCATTTCAACATTCTCCGATTCATTAATTACGTCATCTGTAACCGAAGTAATGTTGTTCCAGGTATATTTTTCGTATAAAAAAGTTTTAAGCAGATACTTTTGTAATGACTAAAATAATATTTCGAGAACATAATTTGCTTAAATAAACGCAAATCGGTAATTATTAGTAATGTACCTAAACAGGTAATAAAAATAAATATTTATGCACGTGTGTCTGAATGCACAAAAACAGCGGGTAAGATGAACTCATAGGCGTTGCATCGTGAACCCGAGTTTTATAGGGATAAGTTACAATTCGAGCATTGTAACGTTAATCCTTGTTAAAATCGGATGGTAACAACTCAAATCGTTGAAAAGTATATCCGTCGTTTTAATTACCTTGAGTTTCCATTGACTTATGTACTGAATCCGGGGGTGATGAAGATCTGCAGCGTTGGCTTTTTAACAAATTTCTTTCTATTTTTTTTATTTTCTTCTTAATATGATTTAAAGAATCCAAGTCGTCGCGTTTCCTTTTCGGCATTTTTTTTTGTTAAAGTAATTTAAACACTAATTTAAAATTTTAGCACTATAATTTATAGAGAGATTTAACACAGTTGCAGGATGTGCGAAGTGGCGGAGCACTGAAATGTAAATGATGAATCGAGCGCAGTGCAACTAAGAAGTAATATTAATCTACCGTCTTGTTTTATTTTTACTTTCAACTAAGTGCGACATGTATGTGAGACTACCTGTGTTATCTAATCTCGAGAACGAAACACTGAAGCATAATAATAATTATAAGGTTTTTAGTGAAAACCGTTGTGTAATTAAACTAGTTTAAAAATTTACGTATAATCACGTTATACGTAATTTTTTTATGCGCTTAAGGCATTTACCAATAGTTTATTTTTAGAAAGGGCAACCACTTTGTGTAAATATATAACTATATATAAAAAAAACTTAACTTAGTAGAGATTGGTTTTTATTTCACAGAATACTTAAACTATGAAGAGGGCAAGTTCTCTAAATCGCGGGGTGTTGGTGTCTTCGGTACTGACGCACAGGTATAAATTTTGTTATTTTAAGCTTATTTTTATATATCCTATGATATATATACACATCAGTATAAATTTCATTAACGGAAGTTAACTTGTTGAACGATTTGTATCTTAAAAGACAGTAATTATTATTTGAATTTTAAATGCTTAAAATAAATATTGAATTATTACAGGAAACTGGCATTCCTTCTGACGTGTGGCGATTCTACCTGGCCAGTATACGACCCGAAACCTCCGACTCTAGTTTTAGTTGGACTGAACTTGGCACCAGGTTAGTGTATAATCGTGCTCTTCCTTTCACATTCACCTGTACCATTAAAACCATGTATTTCGTTGATTAGTGAAATAAAACTAATGTTACAGACTATCGCGCTTAATTTAATTTTAAAAATAAGTCAAATTAAACGGGTAAAATCTGTAAAATTAATTTTATTCGATGTGTAGTATTCATTTATAGAAGTGAGTTTGGCAAATGACCACACAGTCCACTTGATGATCTTAATCTTAATCATCTTAATCATTTTAAAAAAAATGTTACCCCCACACTAGGATTTTCTCCTATATCGTGAAGGCAGTTTACAAACACAAATTGCACAAGGGCAAACATCCAGACCCGGAACAATTATTTGTAGGCCATACAAATACTTGTTCCGTGCGGGATTCGAACCCGCGGCCCCCAGCGCAGCGACTCATTGCTAAACCACTGCGCCATGGAGCCGTCTGTGATAAGTGGATGCAGTGACCCTAGACGAAAAAAAAAAGTGACCCTAGACACCTATATTTATCCTCGAATGCCTCCTATCTATCCATATGCACTCTTAGAGAATGTTCCTTTTTGTTTATTATATTCTTTAATATAATTTTTTTAATGTGTCCTCTTCCAGGAATAACTCGGAGCTTCTTAACAATCTTGGAAACTTCTGTCATCGATCCCTGAGCTTCTGTGCGAATACATTTAAAGGCAAAGTACCGGAAACAAAGCTTACTCAAGCTGACCTCGAGCTAATTGCGTTGGTTAACAGGGAGGTTATTGGTAAGTAACACTAATTAAGATGTAAGAAAAGATTGGTACACAGAGACAATCTCGACTTTAAATTCAAACTCCATAACATCAAAAATTTAGTCTAGGCCAGATAAGCTTAACGCCGCTGTGTTTCGTATGGTGAGTGTAGAGAACCGGAGACCCTTTTTACTAGAAACAAGGCATTCCATCTTGGTCCTCAGGGGTGACTACGCATCTGCATTTTGATTCGTAATCGAGGATAGATGTAGATGTCTATGGGCCACAGCAACCACTTACCATCAGATGGAGTGTATGCTCGTTTGTCACTCTTATCCTATAAAAAAAATAGCTTGCAAATAGGAATTTAACGCTGAGGGCTGCTTACATCTCACCACTACATATTTTTATTACGGTTCTATTTTTCAGCGTATGTACAAAACATGGAAAAAGGCCGCCTCCGAGAGTCTCTAAGGCACGTAATGTCGATATCACGTATCGGTAACCAGCACATGCAATCTGAACAACCGTGGGTGTTGCTCAAAGGATCAGATGAGGATAAGTAAGTCTTATTGTTTATTTATAAAATTGTAGCGACGAATAAAGTTACAGTCCACCTGATGGTAAGTGACTAGTGTGTACCATGCACATCTGCAATCGCTTTCAAACAAAGAAGGCTGCCAGATGCATAATGCATTGTAAACCTCAGAGGACGGATCTGTAATGCCTCACCGCCTATAGTTATACTGGCTTTCTATACTCTTCAGACCTCCTTCACGGCTCCGTGGCGCAGTGGCTTAGCAATGAATTACAGCGCTGGGGACCGCGGGTTCGAATCCCACACGGAACAATATTTGTATGGCCTACAAATAATTGTTCCGGGTTTGGATGTTTGTCCTTGTGCAATTTAAGTTAGTAAACTGCCTCAACGATACAGGAGAAGATCCTAATATTGGGAAAAAAAAGACCGAAACATAGCAGGCACTATTTGGCGGCAAAATTGGTAAAAAAAAGTGGTACCCACCCAGATGGACTCCAGGCATAAAAGGAGTTCTACCTTACATAACACCAGATTTCTATATTTTCAAAAGTTTTCTTTTACATATTGACTGCTTTCACATTTCAATACACAAGATGAACGAGGAAACCATTTTTGAATTAAAGAAACTCACTCAGGAAAACTACAATGGATTGGACTATATATTAGGCATATTTTTAATTAATCGTAAACTATTTAAACGTATAACTAATTCTACGTGGTAGAGCCATGCTGCAGCTATATTATGGTTGTAGCACGAATGGGTCGGCTCGACCGGGGAAGGACCACGCTCTCACAGAAAACCAGCGTAAAATAGCAGCTTAACGCTGCTGTGTTTCGTATGGTGAGTATAGAGAACCGGAGACCCTTTTTACTGGCAAAGAGGCATTCCATCTTAGTCCTCACGGGTGACAACGCATCTGCATCTTGAGTCTTTATTGAGGATAGATGTAGATGTCTATGGGTCACAGTAACCACTAACCATCAGATGGACTGTGTGCTCGTTTGTCACCCGATCCTATAAAAAAAAAACTAACGAAAGAATCGTTTGTAGTACCTAAAAAGTGTTTTTACATACACTTTTGTTTATAATTAAACGGAGTATAAAAGGAGTGCCCCAAAGGAGGGTTATGTTTTTACGGTGTACGTATGTATGTTTGCAAGTTTAAATGTCTTATTAAAGAAAAATTGTACAAAAGGGCTTATTGTAATATCAAAGAATACATAAGTGAAAAAAATCGCTTGGAATGAGGTGATCGCCACCATACTGGTTCTATTAAAACTCATTTAAAATTTGTACACAGAAAAAACAAAATTATTGTAAAGTGAAATATGTTTAAAAAAGTCCCGCTGGGTTTCTTGCTGGTTCTTCCCAGGATAGAGGTATTATCCGAAACAGTGGTAAATAAAAAAATGACTTTCAATAAGTATTATGTAATAATCTATATCAAATAAAAATTATTCTATTCTATTCTAGAGAGCGAGGAGCAACAGCGATAGGGTTGTGCTGCCAGCTCGTGGCCCTCTTGTGTGCGTTACTCGCTCCGTACATGCCGCACACGTGTCGAAGACTGCGGGAACAACTCAATTTGGAGGCAGTCGCACTAAGGATCAATCCACAGTAAGTGATTTTGTCTTCCATACAGGGAACCGAATTGAAATTTCTTGCTAAAAGTAATCATCTACTGTCATTACTCAGATTTTGAACAGATCATCACTCAATATAGCCAGATGTGTTTGATTTAACGCACACTAAAGTGAAACTCGTCTTACCGAACCATTTCTTCTGTGACCGACATCCGGTCCATCGCGGTTTTATTTGCAAACTTTGAAAAATACTTAAAGGTTGAAGGTACTTAAAGTTGGTGCTTCTGCTGCTAACAAAAAAACAACAAATAGCAAGAATAGATCTTTCCATAGCTTTTTGAGCAACTTTAAGATTGTAGCTGTTTGATTTGCAGTATATGTACGTCAGTATCTTTTTTTGACATGTTTTTTTTTGTGCCAGCAGCTATGTAGGTCTAATGAGACCAGTATCACTGCGACCAGTATAATTTATTGTGATCGCTGCTATGGCCAGAGGCCTGTCTCACTCCGCGCTTTAGATATGAAAATATACCTACGCTGCGCGGCCGCGCATGAGGGGCTAATTCCGTGAGGTTGTCACGCGCTCGCGCGATATGACGCGCACCTTATGGTTAAGATAAAAATTATTTTTCTCTAATAAGTATTTGGGCACTTTGATATTTATTTTGGAGTTTTTATTCAAGTAAGGCTTCTCAAAAAACCAAAAGGTACTGCATAGCATACTGGTGCTTAAATAACAATAGCAATGTCGACTTCAATTCTTTACTGTTCCTAAGGATATCTAAAGGTAATATATTATTATTTACAGGTAGATCTAGATAATTAGGGACCTAGTTACTGACGCTATAGTTACAGATTTATTATTTGATTGGCGACGCGACCACAGCTTCGCAGTTTTCGTTTTTTTGGCGTATAATATCAATGACTTTAAAAAATCATTCAGTATAAGTAGACCTGTCAGTGCTAGTGACTGCTTACTAATGCAAGGTCAGGGTATACTGGATTTTATACACTGTCGATAAAATAGATTGAAAATAACAGCACTTCTCATTGTTACTCTTTCATTAATAATGCCGTCACGAGTCGCATGTTTGTAAAAACAGAAAATGTTAAGTAGGTAAATTATCTGAGTTTCAAAGACGTTCACGTTGTTAAAATCTTAATTTTTCTCGATGTTCCATATTTTAAAATGTTATTATTGCCTAAGTACTTACAATAGGTATGTTTATTATTACTGTACGTAGTACGTACGTATCCTACATACCGAGAAAACTGACTGATTGACTGACATATCAATGCATAGCTGAAACCAATAAAGTTATAACTAGTACCTATTTTGTTTTTTCGGTTTTCCTTTCTTAATAATGATTTTATCGTATCACGAGTTGACAGTCTGACAGCTGATTAGATAAATAAGTATTATCGTACTAACTAATACTATATACCTATTGCGGCCCCCAGCTGCCCCTGCAAAGGTCGCCTTGGCTAGGGCCCATAGTAGCCTCCTCGACGGGCAGCCGAAGGTTCGGGCCCAAATGGCCATATGGACAGTTGACCTACGATACTACACAATAGGGAGAAGGCTAGGTAAATAAATAGTACGTACCTGGATCCGAAGCTAAGACCGCACCAAGGCTCGGTCAGGCCGTAGGTAGTTGTAGGTGCATGTAAAGTGGTGTTTAGTGGTGTGTATATTTATGTGACCTGGCCCAGCTGAGGTAACCGGGCAGCGGCCTTGTCCCATGCTGCCCCACAATGCTGCATCACTCCAGCAGGCGTCACCAAGTGACAACTTCTTTCTTCATGTCACTATTTCAGTCTATCAACTTTATTGTACATTTAACTAACTTCAACTCAACTAATTCAACGTTCCTCGTAAAATCAAACACGTGATACCCGACACAAGTAACGAACAGTAGTTCAAAGTTCAATATTCAAGGTTCCGGATTCATTTATCACCAAATTACAAATAGGGAACTAACGCGATCTCTTCACGAGTCACAAAGTTCAGCGTTACAACCAACAACTAAATTCCTTTGTACTATATTAAATACTACGCCGCAATAAGAATTCAAAATCAACCTAGCTGACACGCAAAGTAACTAAAGAGTCAACACACAAAAGGCTCTTAACGCGACGCTACAATTGCAACGAAATTACTCTAATCACTCAAATTCAAAATAAGACTCTTGTCACGAACGTACAACTTAGACAAACTAAACCGAGGCGGTCTTCACGAAACCACAATTCAGTAGCGAAGTAACGCGCACAAATACTAAAAATCTAGACCATAAACCCAAAAAACTGGTCGCGCGAAATATATGCAGCGGTAACCAAAATACGCTAATTGACCGCACCGCTGCTCTCAAGCTACTGTCTTCGCCCACGAGCGCCTAACGCTGGGAAGCTGCATACCGATGCTCCCTCCCAGCGACGCGCGTGACACCTGACACCATCGGGCAATTCACTAAGTCGAAGGTGATTGGATGCCGTCTCAAATGACCATATTTAGTCTAAACAATACCTATTAAGATATAGATAATATTCACATACTACCTTTAACCTACCTTACTTTGGACAATAACATTCTTATAACTGCAAATTACTAATACATTGCATAAAACCTCGGTGTATACTACTACCAACTTATACCAAAGAATTCAATTTGTTTCCTCACAACCCCTAACCCTACAGTAGAAGCGGTCTTAACAAAGACGCGTAACGGTTTAAGTGATACAGACACTCGCACGCGGACATAAGGTGCATTTTGATTTAATACGCGGGCCTCATAATTTTTTTCGACGGTAGAAACGGTAGGCTAATTTCATGAAGGTCACTACCGAGGCGTGGAAAGTATTATGAACATTAGCACGTTGTAACTAAGTTTAAATTCGCAAGTTTGCTATCAGTGAGTGATCCTTCTGTTGTTCTTGTACTATTATTTATTCTGTGCTATGGCTATAGTTTATTTCTAAGCCCTATATCTTCAATAAGTATTTAGAGAAAGAGAGGAATTCACATATTTATTCGTTTATATTATCAGCCTATCAAAAGTTTACTGTATAGATTGCCTCATAGGGGGATATTTACTATAGTTGCCGCTCTTGGACCTTGGCAGCGTGTTGGAACCATAGTTTTTTTATTGTTTTAACCTCTTGAAGAATGATACTGATGATGTGATTTATATGTGGTAGAACCATGCTGCAGCTATATTATGGTTGTAGCACGAATGTGTCGGCTCGACTGGGGTAGGTCCACGCTCTTACAGAATACCAACGTAAAAAAAGCTGCTGGTACGACTTTCCATTGACGTCAGTGGAGTTTGGTGTTGATACGTATTTTTACAGAAAGATTACACAATTATAAGCACACACACAAAGTCTCAATATACGGAAACGCGTAACTTTTGAGAAAAGAATAATTGAAAATCTATTATTCTTGCAATGTTTATGTCTAATCTGCTAATAAACTGGCGCCATTTTGTAATGTCATTGTCGACGTCAATAGGGATGTCGATTCTTTCCGAAAAAGGTCGATTTTTAAATCGATTCAAATCGTAAGCTGATGTATCGATTCCTAAAAAATCGATTTCTAAAATATCGATATTTTTTTCATGTTTGCATTTATAATGTAAAATCTCCTTCATCATAAAAAAATAAGGGGACTGATTCATAAGGATTTCTGTATCTATTTTGAGACTGCTACGTCTCCGGCGCTGCGGGAAGAGCAACCTCTATGCCTTAGCGTAATAAATCGCAGGCATCCCTCCTCGCCTACGCAGCTTCGGCTTGTTGGTCGCCTTCGGCGACCAGCCTCAGCCACTCCGGCTCGTCCGATGCCTACGATTTGTTACAGCAGGCGGAGGCTGCTCCCCCTACGCGCCTCCGGCTCTATAAAACCACTCTAGGGGTAGGACAGACTCGTACCAGGTGGAGTCGGGGTCAATCAATTCGGTTCTTTGACATAAGTTGAACCTAACCTATTTTATTTATCTGCCCTAATAGGTACTGTTAAATAAAACAAATTTCAATAAGAGATCATTTATCATGGTATCTTTCTTGTTTTTCATAAAATGGGTTTATATTTACATTATAAATAGAAACATTAAAAAAATATAGACATTTTAGAAATCGATTTTTTGTGAACCGATACATCAGCTTACAATTTGAATCGATTTAAAAATCGACCTTTTTCGGAAAGAATCGACATCCCTATTGACGTCGACATAGACATTACAAAATGGCGCCAGTTTATTAGCAAATTAGACGTAAACATTGCAAGAATAATTGATTTTCAATTATTCTTTTCTCAAAAATTACGCGTTTCCGTATATTGAGACATTGTGTGTGTGCTTATAATAGTGTAATCTTTCTGTAAAAATACGTATCAACACCAAACTCCACTGACGTCAATGGAAAGCTAAGCCAAGCTGCTTAATGTTTGTGTGTGTCGTATGGTAAGAACCGGAAACCCTACTGGAAACCGGCATTCCATGTAAGTCCTCAGGATGACAACGCATCTGCATTTTGATTCTTAATCGAGGATAGATGTAAATATCTATAGGCCACAACATTCACTCACCATCAGATGGAATATGTTCGTATGTCTATCTTATCCTATAAAATAATGTGAATTCACTTGTGCCACATCTACATGGCACAGTAAACGGCTATACGTAAAAGAGTGATTCTGTAACTATCCTTTCCTATTTCCTTCAACAGGAATCCATCATTAGTACAATATCTACCAACGGGACACGTCATAGGTAAACCGGAGCCGTTGTTTGCTAAAATAGAGCCAGAGCTCCTGGATAAACTGCGTGCGAAGTACGCCGGCACGCAGAGCGATAGAGCTAAGGTGAGAGAGGTAGAGAAATAGAAGTTAAACTACAATTAATACATTCCCGAGTTACGGTTTTGTTTATATTTTGAGCTGAGTTATAATATAGCATATTTTTATATTAAACATTATGCAATCATCACCACAATATTGCGTTGTAGCTTTTATTTATTTATTTAGAATAACCTTAAGACTTACCAATTATTATCTAGGATTAAAACTAAATACATACAAACATACATATAACCACGCCTCTTTCCCGTAGGGGTAGGAAGAGACCACTTCTTTCCATTTGCTACGATCCTTACATACTTGTTTCGCTTCGTTCAATTTCATTATTGCCTCCATACATGCTCTACGGTTTTTTAGGGTACTCTTGACCTGGCCTTTTTTCAAGAAGTCCCTGATTTGGTCTTGAAACGTCCGCCTAGGTCTACCCCTTCCAACACTTTCATTCACACTCGCCTTATACACTTTTTTTGTCAATCGTTCTTCATTCATTCTTTCGACATGTCCAAACCATCTCAGCATACCTTTCTCAATTTTTGTCACAACATCTTCTTTCAGACCACAACGTTTCCTTATCTCACTATTTCTTATCCTGTCACTCAGTTTAACTCCTGTCATACTTCTTATCGCTCTCATCTCAACTGTATTTATTCTGCTTTCAAACTTCTTTTAAACTAAATGATGTATAAATTAAAGGTGCCACAGCAAGCATCACGGAGAAGCTAATTGTATTAATAAACAAACTTCAATAAAGTATATATAACTTGTATCATAATTAAAAAATAAAGATAAAAGAGAATATTGTTTACTCTTTTAATAAATATATTGATATGTATATTCATTCAATTAATATGTATATTTATTTCTTAAACTTATAGATGCTATTACAAAATATCTTTTACTAGTAATAATAATTTCTTTGGAGAGGGAATTCATCGACGATGCATTATGATATTATATAAATTCTGTTTACAACTTCAAAGTTGGGTGATTAGAACCACCAGCGTCATGGAATTTAATTACTATTATTTTTTTTATTTTGAAATAATCTAATTAATAATTAGAGAACCGTTATAGTTCACAGTACGCAAGTAGCCTGGGTTCGATCCCCGCCTGCACTAATGAATTGTTAACTGGCACCGCGGTGGACACTTCATTGCCTTAGAACACTCTTAAAAATAACAGAAGGCTTATCCAATCTTATATTTTGCAGCAAAATGGCGATGTTAAGTCTCCTGCATCTAAAGTTACCGTGGCAGAACTAGAAGCAGCAATAACGGCGCAAGTAAGTATACATATACGTTTCGAAACATAAACCAATACACAGTAATATATTAAATATCTATTTGATAGCATAGTTTCTCATAAACAATACACGGCCTTACTCAATCATTGATTATTATCGCTTACTTAAACTAAATATTGATTATCTCTGTACCTATTATACCAGTGTATTTTCGGTGTAAGAATATCCACTACCCCATATCACCCTGTGGGTGTTGTAAGAAGTGACAGAGGAAAACAAATCAGGAGATGGGCAGCAGCGTCTTCCTAATAACGACAAAAAATAAAAAAAATTGCGATTGCCAACTCACTTGCCAAGCGCGGTAACTATGGCAAGTATCGCCCCTATGAGGCTATCTTTAGGTGAGTCTTATGTTCAGCAGTGTACTTAATAGGCTGAACGGTATCTCTATACCTGTCTCTTATTATTCTTAATTTGTGAAAAAAGAGAGCGAGCAACTTTATGCATTTCTTATATTGAAGAGTAAATTAAATTAAAGAGTATACTTGTAAACCTCCTCTCATCCCGAAAGAGATCTGGCATCTGATAGATAATGGTATACCACTATGTGATATAATTCACATACATACATTAATAATATCTGGTATTTGTGATTACCAAACTGCTTGCTAAGCGGCGCGATGGCAGTAAATTAGCTAACTCGATTATAGAAAAGACCATGATTATGTTCGGCTATGACTGTTTCTGTGCGGATGAACATTTTATCTGAGAGTTTATATGTATATAAACATCTGCATCATCATCAAAATGACAGCTCTTCACATCATCATTACAACCCTTCACAAGTCTACTGCTGAACATAGGCCTCAACCAAGGAATGCCACGAAGCACGGTCCTGATCCACCTGCATCCATCAACTTCCTGCATGTCTTATCAAGTCGTCACTCCATCTAGTGACCATCCACTGGAAAACCTTTTTTCCCCATTGGTTGTCGGTTTATCGAGCTATGAGGCCGGTCCATTGCCACTTCAGCTTACTGACCTGTTGGAATATGTTGGTTACTCTGGTTGTATAACGAATTTTCTCATTACGAATCTTATCACGCGTAGAAACTGAGCTTGGCCCTCTCCATAGCTCGCTAAGAGAACTTAAGCTTTCTCATATGGCCAGCAGTGTCGGACCAGTTCTTAGGTCCATGTGATATCACTGGCAACATACACTGATTGTAAAAGTATCTATATCTATATAAGGTTTTATATTTAAGGGTGAAAAAGTGAGGCAACTGAAAGCATCTACAAAAGACAAAGCAGTGTGGCAACCTGAGGTGAATAAGTTGCTCGATCTAAAAAAGCAGTTAGAAGCAGCGCGAGCAACACCTGAAGTCACTTCAAATGACAGTGTTGTCAGCTTAGAGAAAGCTGTAGCTGAACAGGTGAGTTTGATTTTATTTATTGTCATTTACCATTCATGTTTTGGGGATAAAAAAAATTTTAAGCAGCCGTGCGTTGGCAGTTTAAGATAATCCATGGCTTCACTTCATCCTTAGTTTTTGTAAGATTCGATTAAGGAAAATGCCAAAAAAATGTCATGACTTCCAACAAACACCCATACTAGCGACGTAAATGAGTGTTAAAGGTGCAAGATAGACTTGTGTAGTTCACAAACGAAGTACTATTAAGAATTAATTCTTGACACTACTAGAATGAACTATTCCTAAACTTCGTTCGTTTGGTACCAGTACACGGTGCTTAATTCGCTTGGACCGAGGAATGAAAATAACGAAACACACTCAGCCACCACGACGCGACGCGTCTAGCGAACGAAACGAACTACATTCATACACTTCGTTCGTACTTCTCGCATGGGAGTTTGGAGAAGAGAGTGAACGAGATAACTCTTCTTATGCTTACTGTTTTGGTTCATTGTGTTAGATGTTGGGTGTCGTTTTATTTTGAGCGTTTTTTCAATGTTTGCTTGCTTGTGCGTGGATGTACTTATTTTAATGATAATCAAATATTCCACGCAAAAGTACATTGGCACACTGTACTCTCTATCAACTAACAGTATACTGATGCACCCTGCATTTGACTGTCGTCACAATTTACATTATATATATTACTTATAGAACCAAATTGCACCTATTATTTAGATATGTAGTGTATTTAAAAAAAAACAACTTTTGATTGAATAAAATATAATTTTGCTACTAAACATAAATAACAAACTTATCATAATACTTATGTATTGCATTTCTTGAACACAATATTACTATTACATTTTTTTTTAATTTAAATACTATGAACATTCCTAATATTCCCTTAAACCACTCGTGGCAAGCCTAAAATGCTTGTGTTAGTAGTGAATCACGACAGTAGTCGAATAGCGGATGCGTATCTACGACCTTTTGAGTTCGCGGTCCATACCCTGCCATAAGACTACTGTCGCTTCTCAAATATTATATAGTTTTGGGTTTCTCTCTCATATATTATTTGATTTTTGTTTTAGGGCGACAAAGTAAGAAAGTTAAAAGCTTCAACAAAAGATAAGACCGTTTGGCAGCCAGAAGTCGACAAGTTGCTGCAGTTGAAAAAACAGTTGACAGCCGCCCAGGCACAGACCAACAATGCACAGAGTGCAAACAGTGATACAGATAGTGTTGCTAGCTTAGAAAAAGCTATTGCTGAACAGGTAAATTATATTATTTGAAGAATATATTTACTTTTCTTTATACAATTTGCATAGTCAAATACAGTTAAATTTCCTGGCTTTCGATAACGTATCGCCATTTCTTAAAACCCGACGTGAAAATCTCTGACTGGCGACAGAAAACAGTAAATGTTAGCACATTTGATGCTGTTTTCTGACTTCTGGTACTGCGATGATTAATCCGACCAAAAGTGGCGGTTGGCGATTAAGGTAAATGCAGCAGCAGTGGACTTTTAAAGACTGACTATAGAAGAAGCAAGCATATACAATGGAAATAATATTTATATTACAATTTTATCAGTTATAACTTGATCTATGTATTCGTTAATATCTGAATATCATGTCTAAAGTAATGCTTATTATTCAATGTTGGAGGAAGTATAGACATGGCGACAATTAAAGTACATCTTAGCTGCGGATGGGAGTTAAAGCCATCAATCTAATACATAGCAGCCAGGTACTCTTAGGGAACTAGATGACGGTCGATAAAAGTTATTAAAGTTATAATTCTCCCTCCATGCTGATGTTGTTGACTTAATATTTTGAATTTGAAATTAAAATTGTATTTGGCAGGGCGACAAAGTTAGAAAATTAAAGGCATCCACCAAAGACAAGGCTGTGTGGCAACCGGAAGTAAACATTTTGTTGGATCTCAAGAAACGCTTGTCGGCAGCACAAGCTAAATAAAATCAGACCATTGAAATGCAAAAGTTAGTTCCATTTCTGTTATGAAAAACAGTAAAGCGCATAAACTCTAACAATGAAATAATATTACTTTTATTTTTTATTTTTTTGTAATATACCTAAGTAGAATACCCAAGTTGGACAGAAAAAATGAGTGCTGTCTGGAAGTTTTTTGAAAACCTTATTTATGTTTCTAAACTTTTTGTTCTATATTTATTGCACATATTTGTATAAATAGCGTTAAAGCGGACATTTTCGGTTTCTTATTTTTCATGTCTGAAAATCTAAATATTATTTACATTTTGTGAGATTCAGGAATAGTTACAAACATTGTCAATTTGTTAGGTTTAACTATTCTTATTATTTGTATACAAAAGTCATAATGGTTTCGTAATATATATACGACTGACCTATTTAAATTACCACACTGGACTAAGCCAGTCCAGTGTGGTAATTTAAAAAGGTAAAAACCTCCCATATAAATGGGTCAGTGATATACAGGGTTATTTTGCAATAACCGGCCAAATTTGCAGAGCAGGTTCAGAATAAATAATATGTATAGGCAAATCGCGAATAAAAATTTATTAAAAAATATCTTAATAATTCTGTCCTTTTTATCTTTTACTTACTTACTTACTTATCTTCACGCACAATCCCTGACGGGGTAGCCAGAGAGAACAGATCGCCAAGTGTCACGATCCTTACATACCTCTTTCGCTTCTTTCAGATTCATTATCTTCTTCATACATGCACGTCTAGGTATCCGAGTACTCTTGACCCTCCCCTCTTCGAGCAATTTGCTCACATGGTCTTCGAAAGTTAGTCTCGGTCTACCTCGACACCTTTTAATATTTACTTTCGCGCTATATATTTTCTTCACCATTCGGTCTTCACTCATTCGCTCAACGTGCTCAAACCATCGAAGCACGCCCTTATCAATTTTTGTGATAAGGTCATCTTTCAAACCTGCCATATTGCGAATCTCTTCGTTTCGCTTTCGGTCGGCCATGGTGACGCCGCACATTTTACGAAGAGATCGCATCTCCACTGCATTCAACTTGCTTTTATGCTTCTTCTGGCATACCCAGGTTTCGCTGGCATATATCAAAGTCGGTACCAACACTGCGTTATATATTGCAAGGTGTGCTCTCTTCACTACGCCTTACCTTTTGACTAACGCAGTCAGGGCAATATTGACTATGTTCCCGGCAGCGACACGCCTGTCCACATCTTTTTATCTTTTAATATCAAAATGCGTGATAATGCATTATTTTTACTGATTTTACTGCGCACGCACATTCGTGAGGTTCGATCGGTAGGCAAAAACGTTGTTGCCCATAAATCACATTCAATTTGGGATATAATAAAAGTCGAAGCCTTATTTATTTTCAAAAACTGCAATAACGGTATATCATTATTTTTATATTTGAACTTAAGTTTAAAATTTGGCTACTCTTTGAAAAATAACCCTATATAAACCAATTAATTTCAAATAAATAAAAAAATTGAAAATTATAATAAAATTTTACATCTTCCGCAAAATTGTATTTATGTCGTACTTAAGTTGAAGATTTTTGATGACAATTTAATACTTTTCTTACATATTTTTTTTATTGGTTAAAGTTGATCTACCATTATAAAATGAAAGTAGTTTTTAACAATGACCGTCCTTGTATGCAGAAAATAGGCACGTCATACTGCGATCTTAAAAGCTATAATCAAGCTACGGTTTAACAAAATAGTAAATGTATGAGGACGATTAAAAAGTTTTTTAGCTTGTAGCTTAAAATTATAACCTAGCTTTTAATACAATACATGTTTTTATAACAATAAATTTTCACTCCAGTATGTTGTTATCATGATATATGTGACACATGTGTTCAGTACCACTTAGTGTATTTTTGTATACTTGTAAGCTTTGAGATCTCTGTAAAGTATAAAAATTATCACATGTCTAAACCATTAATAAATTATTTAAAGACTATGAAAGTTATGTTGTTATTCGTATAAATTAGGTTTAAACTAAAGACCGCGTGGCGTTACGTACATGGCTACTACCTCACGGGTTTTGGTTAACAAATTAGACCATAGATAAATAGATATGTAGCAAGCTAAATTACACCATTCAATACCAGTAGACCAGAGACAAAATTTCTCTAAAAATAAATTGCATAAGTGCAAAAATGAGTTTTTCCCTACTGGGACGTCTAATTAAAGTTAGCCGGTATTGGGAAAAAAAATGGACAGGAAAATAGGCTTTTCATTGACCTATGTCTATTATCAGGGGCTTCTCTCTGTTTTCTGAACTCATTATCACTCGCAAAATTTCTCCCGAAGCAAAATAAATTTTTTAATAACAATCGCTAGGCGCTAAATCTGGGCTGTCGGATTGGTGTTATTCAAATTCAAAGTCCTTTATTTACTGCAGCCATCCCTACATGTACTGTTAAATATTGTGGATTAATGTACGGGTATCAGGTCTGATAAAAAAGTTGAAATGAAAAAAGAAATTTGATCTATGGCGTGAAAAACATTGTAAAAACATTTTGTGTAATTTCCGATTTGCCGTTCTTCTATTAAAGAAACAAGACGAGCAGCCGGTGTTTTATTTTGGTGTCAAGATTCGGTGGATTAAAGAGTCATTCCTATACCCTCATCGTAAAAACAAGGCCAATCAACCTACAGCTTCAAACGTCCAATGATAAATTTTCTACATGTGCCTTGGAAACAGGTCCGTTGGCGAAAGGGCGTACGGAGCAAAATGTGTATCGAATCTGACTACTACACTGACACTGCTCAAAGACACACATACGGATAGCTTCAGGAATAATGAGTAAATAAATTAATTGTGAAGTTGAATATTTTTAGATTATTTTTTTTTGTATTTTATACTTATTTAGTACCTACGTAGATTTGAGTTGTCTGAAGTTTTGGACTTGATGGAGTTTGGTTTAATTTTTAAGAACATGTTCCAGATTTTTCTCGCTATTGCATCAAATTTGATAAACCACATTGCGCTCGCAAAAATACATCGATTCCTACCAAATATGTGTACTTTTGATAGTATGTAAAGAATGAAATCAATGATTGGTGTGTAAACGGGTCAATCAGAGGCGCGGGCCTAGAGATACCGATCCTTCATGAGCATCTTTAAATTTCATTCCGCACCTCAAACCTGCGTTTGCTCTGAGCCGAGAAATACGTTGGAGCACTCCGTTTGGCTTATGATAAACCGAGTAATACTCGATAATCGGTTATTCAGTTAAACTTTTACTCGGCCCTTTTTACTATTTATATCCAACTACATGCGTGATTGAGCTAAATGAATGAAAACAATAAACGAATCTAAAACGTAGTGATTACGTTATAATATACAGGCACTCTTTGGGTGTCAGAAGGGATTACATTTTTTCAAACTTGTTTTAATAATTTAAAGTGCTATTAAATATGCTGTGAAAGCATCTCCTATAAAATTGTTAAAAGTTACTTACCAATTACACTTAAAAAAAAAAACCTTACCTCTACACTATGCTTTTCCAGTATCGTGGGGGCAGTTTACATACATAAATTTCACAAGGACAAACATCCAGACCGGAAATAATTACTTGTAGGCGATACAAATACTTGTTCCGTGCGCGATACGAACCTATGGCCCTTAGTACTGCAACTCATTGCTAAACCACTGCGCCAAGGAGTCGTTCGTTTTTATAAGTTATTTGTGTTCATAAGTAATAAAATATGCATTAGAAAACTTGCGAAACATGTAGTTTTAGATGTGGCAAGTAGTTAAGTAGTAGGTGAAAGTTGTTGAATGGAATGGAATAGAATAATTTTTATTCAATATAGATCACATGTGTAATTCTTATTGAAAGTCATTTTTTACTTTACTACTGGTTTGAAATAAAAACCTCTGTCCTGGGAAGAACCAGCAAGAAACCCAGACGGACTTTTATTTAAAGCATATTTTACATTAATGGTTACACAAACTATATAAGTACAAAATTTATTTTAGAAACAGCTTGGAAGCGACCACCTCATTCCCATGGGTTATTATAAACCATGTATTCATTTATACTATAATAACCCTTTTTATACAGTTTCAGCATAATAAAACATTTAAACTTGGTAATAGAGAGAACCTGTACACTTTCCGGGACCTTGTTGTAATAGCGTATACATTGCCCCAAGAATGAATTACTGACTCTGTGGAGTCGAGAAACTGGTATCACTAGCTTGTGTTTGTTCCTAGTGTTTACAGAATGTATATAACTTTTTTTACTAAAACTACCTTTGTGTTTGTGAACGTACATTAAATTTTCGTAAATATACTGAGAGGCCAAAGTTAATATATTTATTTCTTTAAATTTATCCCTAAGAGACTTTCGGTTTTAGGTTGTAAATAGCTCTTCTGTAAAACAAAAATAGTTTCTGAATCAGTCGCATTTCCCCGTAGCAAAATCCCTATGAAGGCATTATGCTATGGAAATAACTGAAATAAACGAATCTAGCTGTCTCGACACTAGTGAAACCTCTTAATCTTTTTTACAGCATAGGCTGCAGAACTTAGTCTGCTTGCTAGTTTGGACATATGGGGACCCCACTGAAGCTTTGCGTCGAGAGTGATGCCGAGAAAAACAGTGGATTCAACAGAGCTCAGTTCTTCCCCATATAAAAACACATTAGTACTCAGATTTTTAACATTCGTTGTTGTAAATTTAATACATTTAGTTTTATTCCCGTTTAAATGTAGATTATTAACGTTAATCCAATGCACTAATTTTGATATAGCACTTAGTCACATTTAAATGATTGACGTTTAAGTTTAAAAATCAAGGAAGTATCATCAGCAAATAATACTATATTATGATTATCCCCTACAAGAGAAGGTAAGTCATTAATATATACTAGAAATAGGAATGGGCCGAAAATGGAGCCCTGAGGGACACCCATTAGTACAGGTGACCCAGAGGAACTTTTACCATTGATAATAACTTTCTGCATTC